TCTTTCCAATGGTAAAAATTATTTCGTTCTAAGTCGTTTAGTTTTTAAGGGGGGAGACTCCTTTGGGGCCAACTCCGAATCGATCGAAGCGCTCATGTAATCAATCGGACACTAACGAAAACACACAATCGATCATTGGAACAGCTTAATAATACGACATCTAACGGCAATACCCACAAATAAATTTTGTTCCCCATTACCATCAAGTTGGGTTTGTGTGTTTACTGTCACAATCGCACAATTTCTAAAATTCTAATTCTTTGAACGTATGGTGTTTATTGGCGTTTCTAAGGAGCAGACCACCCTGTAGTGAAGTCTACCCGTGAGTACTATACCCGTGAAAACTTCATTTGTGCCATTGTCGAGGCAGAAGTTGGATTCTACGAAATCGAATGTCTCTCTCGTGCATCGCGTATACATACACGGTTCCCGTTGATTGTGTGAGTGCACGGCACAGCACACGGGTCACGGAGTCTCCCCCCTTAATTAAGCACATAATAGTCTAAAAATGATATTAAGTTCATATTTTTAATACAGTGTAAAGCCCATTACATAGGGGAATTAATGCAAGGTTCACTGTTTCTACATATAAAGTCTTCTCTTAAATCCATTCAATAGTTCAAAGGTAGCGATTATTTCTCGCTCATTTTTTACCGAACGATTCCAAAGTTACAAGGGTTTCGCACCTTTGATTTGCTCTCCTCTAAAGTTTGAAAAGCGTTACTTAATATACTCTGGCTCTGGGTTCAGAAGTTTAGTTAGTAATATCATGTAAAAGAATAAAACAAAATTTTCTTCGTCGAACCCCAGAGTTCATCATGTGCGTGTTTTGTATTTAGTGGGATGTTGGATGCGTGGTTAACACTGTGTGGTGTGTGGATTATTATATGCACTAGAAGTCGACATCGATAAGTCGACATTGTCGGTGAAATGATTGTCGTTGAGGTAACCGACTGGAAGAACGAAGCGTTTTTTAAACTATCAGAGTGGATCAATTTCATGGATTCCAAGGACACTTTCGTAACCCGAAAATTCCGATTTTTTTTAATACTTTCCTTTATAGGGAACCTTAACAGGAGTATTTAAGCAATTCTTTATTTTACTACCTTTTGGTTTCTTAGGGTGAAAATACCCCTTAACAGTTACTGTGTGTTTCTTATTTTTCTGTATATTTTAGAAACTATGGTAAGTATAAAGCAATGGTTACAATTAATATTTAATGGCTTTTCATGCTTTATAAACCTGCCCAATGAAATTGTTGAAAATTGTTTAAGTACATAAATAAGTAAATAAAGAAACTTTTAACAATTTCATTGCACAGTTTTATAAATCATATAGACATTAAATTTTCTATGGTTTAATTTTTTAGTATCTGCCAGGCTTTTAAGATATGCAGGAAAATAGGAAAACTCACAGTAACCTTTAGTGGGCAATTTCACCCTGCAGGACCAAAAAGTAGCAAAAAAGTATAAATACCTGATACTTCTGTTAAAAACTTCTATTAACCTGTGAAGTTTCAAAAAAAGTAGGAATTTTCGTGAGGAATAACGTGTGTAACATTCAAGTGATCTAATAAATCCAATACTGTATGCCCGTACTCGATAAGAATTAATCCGTTCCGTGAATAAATCTCACCTGAGTATATTCAATACGAGCATGTCTTCTAATTATATCCAACACCTCGTAGAACAAACTATCCAAAATAACAAAAATGCTCGCTGTAACAATTTCAAGCAACAGCTTGACCATTTGACTCGTCAAATTAAAGCTTTCGGCATTGCTCGGTTTCCAATTATAAGGATCGATGAACTTCTTTCTTTCGATCTTTTTCAACGGCAACAGCGTGGAACTGCCACGAGCTTTTCTCCTGGCGTCGATCCGTCGAAAATATGGCGTCACGTAAACGTTGTCATGCTCGATCTCGTTCAAGTATTTGTCGTGATAGGTTTGAGCGCCAAGGATGATCTTCAGAAATACAAAGGACAGGCATCTTTTCAGAGCAACCATCACGGATTCGAAGAGCTTCGCCCGCGTTGTAAACTCGTGCACGACAGCTTTCGCTGCGTAGGCAGAATCTTGGAGATCTAAGATCACCGGGGGTTTCTTTATTTTGTACTGTATCTTCGCGTCTTTCAAGCTTCTGCTGAACTCGTTCCGCGCACCTTTCAATAATAATCGCCTCGTTGAACTTTAACACATGAAATCGCAATTCATACGTGACGATCGACGAAATAAATTTTTTTTATGTTTATTTTGCTGACGAAGCTAAATTTTCAACGTGAAATTATATAAGTTAATATTAGTAAAATCTGATTTGACATTTTAGAAGGGATTTGTGAATTTTGTTGTTACACAATACATAATACGTGTAGTGTCGATTTATAAGTATTTTCTAAATTTGTAAATACAAGTTGTCCCCGTATAAAGGTCGGTTTATATACTATCCGTTTCAGACACTGAACGGTTGAGCGAAGGTTCCATTCAGAAAAATATTCTTCAATGTGTTACGAGCCGAGGGCTAAAGCGGACGAACTAATGCATTTCATCATTTGGAGCCGATGTTTATTTCACCGCCGGGAGCCGCTTAGGGACACGGACGAACCGATGTTTATTTCATCACCAGGAGCCGCGCAGATTGGAAGGGAAATGGTGGACGAACCTGAGTATATTTCAACACAGGGCTTTTTCCCGAAAACATTACTTTAACGTGAGCCAATGGGCACGCAGGATCTCGTGGCAGTTCGGTCGGTCCACCAATTGAATCAGAACTTTGGTTAAAGATGGTGACCAATAGTGGGGTGCGCTCACATGTGTGAGTCAGCCGTGTGAGCTGGGGCGTTCCTAGCGCTACTTTAACGCACGCTACTTTAACATAAGGTTTACGGGCATTTATCGTGTAGGTATCTCCACGGCACGCGTCAACGAACCCGCAGATTTTCTTTAAAAAACAACTTATTTTATATAGTACACAATTTATGATCTCTGAAATTAATGCATAGCTATAGAGATAGGTATACCACATAGAGAATTTCGAGGTTAGAAAGTATTCGAAATGCGTCAAAATGACGCGTCCCGTAAACCTAGTGTTAACGTGAATCTACTGTACACAGATGTTTATACAATTCGACATTCTTGCGAAGAATGTTTTGTCGGATATGGAATGTGTTAGTACTATGGATTTAATGGAATTTTGTATTTTTCCTACAAGAATATTGAACTCATGCCTAGACATCTTAAAATAATGGAACAGCTTTGCTTTTTTATCCACTAGTCCTTTAATCAGCGTCCAATATTCTCCATACGTGTTTCTCTGTTTCAGCATTTTGTAAACAGCGTAATGACGCTTTCTTTTCTTATTACCTCCATTTAATAATAATTCTCTGCAGGCTAGATTCTTTATAGATAAATGTGAAAATATTAAACGATAGTCACTATAAGAGACGGAGAAATATTATACTCATATCCGCCAGACATAAACTGATAGTATAAATGCTAACGCCTTTTTCTGAACGGAACCGTTCCGCAACCGTTACGTGTCTGAACGGATAGCATTGTATAAATCAATCTTAATACTAAAAACTAATGTGTGTGTACATACGTGTGAAAAATAGGGTTACGTTAAGAACATTAACAAAACTGCACTATTTCATACAATACTTTAACTGTGTTAGAGGGAAACCGTGTTGTAGGAATATCCTGTTATTCGGGGATTTTCCCAACCCCCTCTAACCGTGTTATGGGAATACTGTGTTATAGAAGGGTTCTCTGTACAGCAAGATATTGCATACGTACTTTTTAAAGCAGCGTAACCTTGACCGATACCGCTATCGACTTTTCCTTCCGGATCGCAGATGCTAGAACCACCGAGTGCCTGGACCAGATTACAAACGAAAGTCAACTTCATCGGCCAACAAAGAAGCCAGCCAACAAACACGGTCACTTTTTCGTAACAGCTGTCGTAGGCAGTACTGAACATGTCCCTTGAAACGAGACGATCAACCAAAATATTAATAAAAGTACCTACAACTGGCAAGACATTAACAGACACTCCACTTTTATTTGCAATTCGAAAAACATACCATTAAGAGAAAAGATTTTACAAAAAATGTAAATAATTTGTATGTATTATTTTCGTAAGTTGTGCAATTCCTTACATAGAGGAGGCAAGAACTTTGAAATCTCGACCAATCGTTTTTAAGAAATGAACTAAATATTCGAGCATTACAATGAATCAATCAAGAATAAACAAATAAACAGATTAGTCTATGAAAATAATTCGTAAAAAGCAATTAATATAAATAAAAAGTAAACAAATAAAGAAGAGTTTTTCATTATTTTTACAATGTTCGAGTTCACCTAAAGGTCATGAGTTAAACATATTTGAATGCACCTTACTACATGATGTAATAAAAAGTACATTCTGTCTGACAAAAAAATATCGACGATTTAAAAAAATTCGTAAAAAGGTTATTAAAAAATGTTTCATATACGATACTTCCCTTCTGAAACCATTCAAACTGCATTTGAAACATTTCTCATATCATTAAAAAAAACATATTTACGTGTTTGGTCTTAAGTGGGAAAACCCTGTATATTAGATGTTAAATAAATTTTTTAAAGCGTACCTACATCTATCTGAACCCCGACTAAGCTGTTCCTCGCATCGAGCTTCTATTTTCTCCTTGTACTTCGCTTCGTACACATCACCCTCCGACTGAGCTTCCTCGATTCTCTTTTCGTTTTTTTCTTCAATTTCTTTGCTTCTTTTCGTGTCACCTTGTAATTCGTCCATATAATCGTTTTCCTCTTTTAACCGCCGCATCTCCTCTTCCCCCTCCACTTCCTCTACAATAGGACTCACCAGATCCTTCACTGAAGATAGTGCATCCTTTATTTCTTCACCATCTGTTTTCATGGCGAGAAGAGCCTATTAATGAACAAAAGTGATAATATTGGAAATTAAAACAATTTTATTTGATCGTTTAACAGAAAAATCATTCTATTGGGAGAAGAAAGGATTCAATTATATAATCGTTTTAAGAAAGTTTCTTTCGTACTGTTTCCCAAACTTTCTTATATACATACATATTAGCTCATCTAGCATCATACTATGTATGCATAGCTTCCATTGAAATTTTCTAAGTGTTTTATTGTTAACTCAATAAATTAAAAAAAAACTACTTTTTGCTTGCCTTCTGTTTTTATATTATAAATGATTTTATAAAGATATGAATTTACATAAAGATTCGTTGTCTAATATGTAATCATTTTAGGGTAGCCATCTTTAGTGTTCTTTTGAAAGCCAACAGGATTATTAAAAAGTAATTCGTCCATATTATTATTACATGTGAAAAAATAATATTTCTCTACAACTGTTTGACAAGAAATATCCTATAATATTCTGAAGTAAAGTATCTATGATATACCCTAAAGTGACCTCAGAAATATTTATTTATAGTGTTATTTTTCATATATTATAAGTATTATACATAGAAACATACAAATTAATAAATAATTTTAGAAATATTTTTAACGTCTTGAACGTCTCGTTTTTCCCCCATATAAAGTAATTCTTTAAATAATATCTATGAATTAATTAGAAACTCTACCTGCTGAAATGGTTTGAACATCAAATCGAATCGCGTCTTGGTGAGATTGTAAGTCAGTTGAGAAGTACAAGCGAACGTCCTCACCACTTCTTTCGCGTTATACACCATATTAAAGAGTGGTCCAGCTATTACATAGCCAAAAACTAATGCCCTCAATACGCTACGCCCCGAGCGACCGAAGAATGCAGGTATCGTTAAAGCGCAAACGCATCTTATCTGTTACACAATAAGTTACGAAAATCAATAATCATTTTATTTTAGCTTTTCTATTTAGAAAAAATAAGTGTAGTAAAATCTGCAGTGTCTAAACGCCTATTATGCAAACAATGTGTGTCCTTTTGTTATGAAAAGTGTCATACACACATATTATATAGTGTACTTAAATGTACATAACGAGTGAAAAATAGGACACATAAGTTAAGAAAAAAAAATAACATATGTAAGTACAGTAGTTTCCACATTTAATACTTTCATTTCTTTTATTCTTTGTCAAATATACAATAATTGCTACACTGTGAATTTTATGTATCTATATAGTGATTATATGTAATAACTGGAAAAAGATATCTGCTGCTCTTTTCGAGGTAAAAATAACAAAAAATTGCTGTGGAAAATATTACATAGCTTACTCACGATCACATAATTTCAGTTGCAAATTTAGTTATGCTTTTTTTGTCGCGTAATTGATTCTTTCTGTTATTCTGCGTATAAAAGTATTACGCGGGGTCATCAAAAAGTCCATATTTTACGAGATATTCGACATTTCGCTAAGGGGCAAGGTAGAAAATAAACAGAACTTGGACATAGTTAAGAAATTTTATAAAGTATAAACTGTATACGATGTAAGAAATGATAAATTGTACATTTTCCGTGTTTTTATGACAAAAAGTTTTCAAGCAAAGCAGAATTTTTATGTGTACCAACAAGTAGTCTACTATTTTTTATGAATTTCTGTATTTCTTTTGCAATAATTCAAAAGCCTCTGCTACATTAACACTATTGATTATTTGTTGCCATCAGTATCCGTCATTTTAATTAGTCAGAATCTATCATCAAAAGATCGGAAAGCTATTCTCAAATTAAACTGCATTGCCAGTATTATTGAAAACAATATTAGATTACTTATTGGTACGCTTAATGTAATTATACACTATTATTAGTATGGCGGTCAGTTTGTTGAAATAAGGTACCTGAATTGACGAGGCGCATCCAACGGACAGCATTACGCATATGATGATACAAAGCGCGAAACTGGTGTATTTATCAAAATGTAGATCGACAATGACGAATTCGTACAAAATAATAGCCAATGACAATCCGAATAAAAAACCCACAAAGGCACGTGATTTTTTGTGTGTGCCTATCGGATCGTAGCAAATGTGAAACAAAGTCGGAAAATTATTTAAGTAGACCTTGAAGAAATTCTTTTTAAATATTTCCGCTCGACGGCCGATTTTAGTCTGATTCTCCATCTCTTTTTATTTTATTTTTAAAAATATTCAACTGTAATGTTTTGTAATTAGAAATTCTTTACATTCATATAGGACGATCTGTCGATTTATTGGTTAGAAGCTAAATTCTTGACGTGTGTTTTCAATCGCTTATTCGATTTTGTATCGATTGAATTGTCTTTCATCTTACATGTCAACGGAATCCATTACTAACTATGTTTAATTAGGAAGTTACAAGGGTTAAGAAATCGTACAGAAAATCTGTCATAGCACTTACTTTGGTGACAATATGACAGCTCTTGAATTACCAAACAAATGATTCCTTTTTTTCTATAGTCATTTTCCTTTAGGGAGCTACATTATGTTATAGTGTAATTTAATATCCGATATAAATATTTCGTCTGAAACAGCTATTATTTCCAGGTGGTAACCATTATCGAAAGCTGTTTTCTATAGTTTTCTTCATATTTTTTACCCTTGAAATTTGTATTAACTATATGCGTTTTTGAATTGATTTGTAAAGTGCTAGATATTATTCTATAATATTTATAATACATATAAAAGAGAATGTATTTTTAAAATATAATTATTCCCTTTTTGCTTTATGCTGCACATACATTCTGTTTTACATTATTGTTAGCAATGTTGTAAATGGTATGAATTTATATTCATGACACATGTACCTATATTATAATGAAACATGGAGATATATGTGTTTATCTTTTGGTACTTTTCAATAGAAAACTATTTTTTATATAATAAATGTTCATAATACAAAATAATTCCAATTGAATCTATCGTGGAAAATTCCTTTATTATTGTCTTGCTGGATCAGTCATCCGAAAATGTATTTTTCTATTTATGGATTATAGGCACTTAAAAAATTAGTTATTAGAAGTATTATTATTATTAGAATCATGACAATTTCGATAACTTCAGATATTATCAGTTTCTCTATCTATGTACGTATATGTAGTATATCTATACCCCTCAAATCGTCCAAATTTTTATGCATCATGAATGCACAATCTTCACCATCATAGATTTTTTAAAGAAATGTGCAAAACAAAATTGACTTAAAAAATGTTTAACTTGAATTATTCACGTCCGAAGGCGGAAGTTTCTGAAAATCGAACAGACAGTGGTTTCTGTATCCGCTTGCACCCCTACTTGTCAATATCGAGGTGTTTGTTTTAAAATCTATTTCTACAAAAATACATTGGTCTCCTTATTAAATAGTAATATAAACAACTGTATTCTTCAGTTATATCTCGTAAGCCGAGAAGACGCGGGAAGCTTTCGGAATCCTAAATCAAAGTAGACCAAGGCACCGTCGTTCAACGGTTAAACAAAAGTTCTTCAAAAAATAAATATTGTATCGTACAATATATCTGCTTCAAAACACCCACGAGTTTTTCTTTGAATAGTGGAGCGTTCGGATAAATAGCGTTCGCATAATCAAAGTTCCATTTGCATAACTTCATTTGAATTGAAAGATAAATAAAAAAATTCTTCCATATTGTATGCATAACTCCTTGTAAAATATATAACGAAATTAGCAAATCGATCTTTTAATATACACGACTCAGCATTAGATACAGATCTGGCGATCCGAACGGCTGATTCTAGTTGCTTCTCATGCATCATTAATCGCCGACAAATGATAATTCTCTCGAGCTAACAATAACATCCACATTCGCACTCGTATCCTTGCACTGGGTGTGTTTTTGTTGTTCGACACTAGCAGCGAAGAAATTTTCCACGGCAGATTGAACGCCGCGATCGCGTAATTGACGTCACGCCGATCGCTTTCCTTGTTGATGTTACGTAATGACGGCTCGACAATGACCAAATAATCCTTGGCCAAGAACGATGCGCTATCCGTAGACGTTCGATGAATACGAAAACGTACATATATGGATAACCCCTTTTTGGTCGATTCGTGTGCAGAGTCACGTTGTTTCTTCGCATTGTAAAATCGAAAGTAAAAGGACCAACACGAAAATGGAATATTAGGAAATCGATGTATTTAGCCATACTTTATTGTACCCACTCGCTAGGTCAAGCTAATTCACTATAGAAAATTACACAGTCTCTGTTAACCTGATTCTTTTCTGTTTCCTTGTGTGTGTGTGTGTGTGGGGGGGGGGGGGTATGTACATGATACGACCAATTGTTAAGTGTGTAAGTCCATTTCAACGTTGACTACGTGTTCATTAGGGGACGATTATTATCTCCGTCGAATCGATATGTCCTCGATGTCACGTTGAGATTGTCAAACCCAACGTATTATTGCTGTGTTCCCGCGAATTTTCAAACTTTGATGCCGTGCTTCTTCGCTTCCTCGCCGAACTTGCTCCTGTAGACACCTTCAGGATCGTATTTGGCCGACAATTTCTTCCACATCTCGGGCTTGTTGTCCACGAGGTACTTGACGACCTTCTTCGTCACTTCCTGTTGCTTCTCTGTGCACTTGCTGCATTCGGTTGCCAAGGCGTCCGGCAGAAGTCCTGAATTACGAGCGTAGAATGATTAATGAAAAAACAGTTAGAAATTTCTTTCTTAATTTCAGTAATTTAATAGATTTTATTGTCGAACATTTGGAGGTTAGTTTTATTAATTTACAAGCTGAGGAGATTGTGCGTTTAAGAAGAATAATTAATCTGCATGAAGTATCTTTTAATCATGGTGTTTAGTTATCAGTAAACTACAGTTGTTCGTACACGTTCACGTTTTCATAAGGCAGGTACTTCAGAAATACTATTAAACACTTGTATCATCATTTATGAGATTTGCAGATTAGATGTTAGAAAAAATATTTCTAGCCTTGGTTAGCCTACATACAGGATGTAACAAAAATGTTGGAGGACCCGGAAATGGAAGACTCGTGAGGTGATTTGAAGCAAGTTTTTCCTTAGTAAAAATATTATCGGAGGCTTTGTTAACGAGATATTAACGAAAAGCCCCGACCAATCAGAGCACGAGTCTTCCATTTTCGGGTCCTCCAACATTTTTATTACACCCTGTATATGTGTAGTAGTCAATGGGACGTGGAGAAAAAAAAAAGGAACTTGTTTACACTATTAATAATTTCGTCGAGTTTTTGATAATATGAAAATCTCTGTGCATTTCATTACACTTGTTACTGTATTCAATTTCAGACACTGAGTATTGTAACTGCATAAAATCCGCTGTCTACTGATCACGTTCAAAATGGCCGATATCAGTTTAGTTACTCACGTTTAAGTTCACTGCCTTCCGGAGTGCATCTTCCCTCGTTCATCAAGCATTTGTAGTAATTTCCCAGTAGGCGATCGCTGCGAAGTATTTGGTCCACGTCGACACCGTCAAATTTGTTGGTGTACGTGGACTTTTCCGGACGGGCGGATACGTAGACGACTGCCACAAGGACGAGCAAACAGAGCAACGCGACTTTCATGACTGTGTAGAAAAGAAATTAAAATTAAACAAACCAAAGCTCGCCGCTGGTACAGAATTCATCTTAAAAAATTCCATCGATTTCCAACACGTCAGTCAACGAATTCTCAAACATACGAAAAACTCAATACATTCACTATCTTAGAGGTAATCGGTGACTCGATTTTACCTGCCGCACAAATGGGCACACCCAGGTTTAAAATAAACAATAATATTATTAAACTTTCTAATACTCTTAATCTTTTCGCTCCGAAGCGATATTTCCATGTTGATTTTTAATAGTTAAATATTGTAAAGGATTAAACTCATTTTTAAGAGAAATTGTACAGATCTTCTTGAGTATTATCAGCAAGGGGTGCAGATGCCGCTTTTGCTTCAGAGCTGCGTTGTTATACAGAGTAGACGCAAACATTTTAAGAAGAGCAAAGACAATCCTATAACATATTCGATTAGCTTCTATTTTGTAGATATTATTCCTTTTGTTCCAAAGATATCAGAAGAACTCCCCTACCATCCCCTACAATATTTCAACTCATACCTAGGGTACCCTATTACATTTTCTGGATCGTGGTGCACTCACTACTGTTACCAATTTTCCGAACACTTGTATATCTGCGGAAATATGTCAAATACTTTATAAATACAACTCCCTTTATTGATCTTATCATTTTATTTTATCGAATTTGAGTACCTATAACAAATTGTTATAGAACAACATGGATAATGTTCATTAACAAATAATATCGACGAAAGTATTTATATGAAAAAAGTAAGTTTCTGTTCTACCCCAACGTTCTAACGGACTAAACATGTTTATTTTTTATCAGAATTTAGTATTTTTATACACTTAGACGAACGTCAATCACTTAAAACAGAACAACGTGTCTGAAACGTTACAAATATTTGGTAGACGTCGGCTTAACCCTGCTACAGTCTTCGGGACTATTTCGACCCAATCGTGTTTTTTTTCTCTAACGCTTTCTTTCGACTTCACACACTTTTTCGACTTGATCTTAATCGCGTATTTTCAGAAATGTTCTCAGGTTTGCGAAGTGAATAAGACTATCATTTCTGCTGCTGAATTGAGTGGCTTTCTTTGGCTAATTTGACAATAGTACCAGGCTCTCCTATCGTTCATTTTTTTTTACAACACGAGTTCGCAATCTCTTGCAGAGTTAAACTTAAACTAATTCTAACCAAACGCCTGCAACGTCCAACCGACGATTTTTTCGTTTTACATGACTGATATTCATCTAAACACATAAAAGTACAACAAAAGTTAAAAATGGCAGTTAAAATCTGTTCCTTTTATATATATATACTTTTTTATTCAACTTTGGTTATTGTACTTTTATCGATATTATTTATTAATAAATATCGCCTACGTTCTTTTATAATATTTTGATATATTCACTTTCGACAAGATAAAATCATAAAAATCAATACAGACATTTCATATAAGTGTCCAGCTACTTTAGCCCGATAGTGTATAGTTGGACTGAGGACCGTAGCAGGGTTAACAGTGTAAATCGATCGCGGCTGAATTCTAAAGGACTGTCAAATTGAAAACCATTGACAAAATAGGCTACTCGGTTTACCAGAGGGAGTAAACCTGGCATGAAACTTTGATTTATCAACAAACAGTAAGATTCTAACACCGTTTACACCATCTATTTGAAATTGCTAGTTTTCCGAATACTCATGGACAGTAGTGTGCGTACAAGACGTCAACGACGAAAGGATTAAAAACATTTCCCGGGCAAACAAAATACACAAAAGTCTAATACACACAGGTCGATTCAATAATTCATTTATACAGTGAGTGTAAAAAGTATTCAAACACCCTTTAAAACGGAACAACTCTTTTAAAATTGGTCCAAATGATTTGAGTTTTTTTTTGTGAAGATAGAGACATTAATTTACTAAATGATGTGAAAAAAAAATTTGAAAAAGTTGCAATTGGTCCGAATCGCGAAGAAAATATGAAAGGTCGTGTTTTACAACTTTTTAAGCTGAGGCTATAATGAAAATTTAATAAATACATATCGAAGATTTATGTTAGGTATGTACATACTGAAACTTTCATTGAAATCGTTTAATACAGAAACGAGCGACAGACATCAAAAGATGTGAGAATTGTTAGATTTACTACAGTTGTAGATCGAAAGTCGGGAAAAACTGCGATATTCAACATTTTTAATCGTTTGTATATCGTAGCAACGTTAACCGATTTTGATGAAATTTTCAACATGTATATAACTAACATAAATCTTCGATATGTATTTATTAAATTTTCATTATAGCCTCAGATTAAAAAGTTGTAAAACACGACCTTTAATATTTTCTTCGCGATTCGGACCAATTGCAACTTTTTCAAATTTTTTTTTTTCACATCATTTAGTAAATTAATGTCTCTAACTTAACAAAAAAAAAACTCAAGTCATTTGGACCAATTTTAAAAGAGTTGTTCCGTTTTAAAGGGTGTACGAACACTTATTACACCCACTGTATATTCAATAATTCATACATTTCGCGTGGTTAATATTTCACTTCGACGACACGATCCAGACGTAAAAAAATTCGCCCGGCAGTCAGCGCGCGCGTTAATTACGACCGACGATCCGGCGTGCAACAAAATGTGGCTTTCTAGTAAGTCACAGGTTGAAGGAGAAATTTCGATTGCTACATGTGGCCAATCGATTCGTCCCCATGTTTTGCATTTTTTGTCGCGATGTCCAACGATAGGCAAACAATTCACGGTAGAACCGTGGACACACTTCGATACCTCTGCGACACTCACTCACCTGAACGTTATTAGCTGCGATTAGATGCAGTTCTAAAGATGTCCTGTGGCTGACGGTACTTATATATGCCCAATCACACCGGTGGTAGGATCAATCGGCGAAGCTGTTGTGTGTCACGATGGTGGGAATACGGGCGTCGATTCATACCGACGAGCCGTACCCCACCTGCGAAACTTACCTCTTCACCTTTATTTTGCGCGAGCTTCTTGAAAGTGATCAACTTGTTCATTTCATCCGAGAATGACGCGCATTTTAATGCATTTTTTTCCCTTTATCCTCGTAATCGACTAGTGAGTCTTCTTGCATCGATTTCCGATATGAATATATGTATCTAGGGACGCGCGAATGAATTCTAGCGAGGATAATTAAAATGATGTAATTGAAAGGAAGACCCAACGAATTCATGCAATTCAAGTGAAATATTGTAAATATTTTGACAATGTAATTTGCAGGCCTATTCTACGCCGTACAAGTGGCCTCACAAGTGGCAAAAACGAACTAATTGCTCCGTCAATCATTTGTTCGGTAGCGACTTCCAGTTTTAACGTAAATTCTGATAAATTTTGAATACTTGCTATTATATTATGAAATAGTATTTGGCATTATTTGGTGGAAATATCTGTAACATGATTGTTTAAGTAAAATTTAATTGTATTTGATTAGCAAATATTTTTAATTGTTTGTTTTATTCGGATGGGCAAATTATGTAGTCCATTAGGTTGCTTGTATTCTTTAAATGAAACAATTCAGCAAATATTGGACCTTTAGCAGAATTTGGTGTCCGATAAACTCTTATCAGTATCGCCTTCTACACTCACGAAGAGTAACAATTTTAAACGATTTGTTACAATTGTCAATATTAAGTATGATGATTTGTTACAATAGTCAATATTAGTTGTAATGTATTTAATAAAAAATACTTATTACTTGCTCAATTTAATTATAAATTTATGTTTTATAATAGGATAAAACAACTGTAGAGAAATTTTGTAAGACGTTCTGTTCTTTCCGAAGATGAATTCTGAATCTTAATTTTAATACTAAAGTTACGAAAGAACAACGAATGTTTGTAATTTACTTCCTAGACGTGACAAGTGTGAATGCGCATTACTCGTCTTTCTTTTTTAACAACATAAGATATATGTCAACTAATCTCACGCCTTATATCATCAATTTCTTATAATCTTTTTTGCATTGTTTTGTGTAATTTTTTCGTAAATCAATGAGTCACTACTTTTTCTTGCATTCTCATAAAATGTTCGTGAAAAATGAATTCCTTTCAATCGTATCATCGAAAAAAATTTTAAATATCCATGAATAAAATAATTGTTTTAGCATGGACATTAATTATTTCTACAAATATACATGAAGAGTTAATTAAGAGTGTTTTACAAATATTTCATCTAAATGTAAACATGTACATTGTTATTTATAATGATAATCGTTATTCTTCAGCTTCATATCAATGCAATAAAAGAAATTCTTACCAATGACTTTATTATGTATTTGTAAAAGTCGTGGAAAATTTGTATTGTTTCTAGCCTACATTTTTGCAGTTTCTTTAACTGTGCGCTAGTTTTTGCTGCATTTGTCTATGGGGGTAGTGATAATTGAAAAAACCTGCTCTATAATATTTTTTAATCAATCTAATGCAGACGAATAACAATTATAAAAATTAGAGGGTCTAGGCTTTGTTAAAATATAAGAATTTTTGAGACTAAAATTCATATTGCGCTTTCTTTTTGTGAAAGCAATTTGTACCACTTCCAGTGCAATACGTCGTATTGCACAATATGTCGTATGCGTTTTGAAAAAACGAAAATGGTGTTACTTAACAAGCAGATTTGGCGTGTGCAAATTACTACTATTACGTGTATTTTTCGGTATAGAAGAAAAATGAGTCGAATGACTCGTGTCAACATCGTGTTCCTGTCGTTTTAAGAGAGATTAAAAAGTTCTGCCCCTTGGCATTAATGTTTAAGTATTGAAATTAACAGGTTTCGCATATCGTTACATAATCGATTTGTGTTTTTACACTTCCAAAGAACATAATTTACACGCTACTAATCGTTGTAAGTTGTAAGTCATCCAATTCGTTTTTTTTACTTTCAAAAACTTAACAAAGTTCCTTGTATTGCAAGAAATACTAAGAACATTTAACAATTTCAAAATAATTTGTCACAGTCCTTATTTTTCTAACCTTGAACCGCCTAGATGTTTACATTTTACTATAAATAATTATTTAAATTTTAGAATACAGCATATATTATCTAATTAGTTAAACAACTTTTGACAAGCCAATTGTATTTTACAAGAGAGTATCCTTATTGTAATAATGTACGAAGATTCTTTAAATGCCCAATTTAACATATAATAAATCACTGGACAAACAATTCTGAGAAAAAACCTTGTTTGCGACATTACTGTCCACGGACTTTCCTCCCTGTGGATCAAATGAGAAAAAAACAGCACACAAGATTCCTTGGAAGTCGTTTAAATTCATGAGTATTGTTACACGAAAATAATATCACTAAAATTTTGTGAAAGAATTGAAGAGTGTCGAAGTTTACATTGGATCATTGTTGTATGTAATATTAAATAACATAGCTTCTTCGTACTGAGGTACTGCATCAATTCAGAAATTAGCAAAATTATTACTTTGGTAACAATTTAAAAGTAACGAATACAAAATTTCCTGTCTGTTATTTGAATTGAAATATAAATTCCAGATACAGACTATAATCGTATCTCACTGCAGATTACAACAAAAAATTTTATACGATTTCCATAATACATATTTCATTATTAAATATCTCCAAAATAGAGTTTAAAATCTCTAAATTTCCTTTGTTAATTTAGTATTTGAATACTTTTACATGCAAAATATTTCCATACAATGATTTACTGCAATAACATTAAACTATGAACAAATTTTATTAAGTGAATTAAGTTCCAGTAGATTTTGTAGGTATACTTTTGTCAACAAGTATCGATTGTTTCATTCAAATTTGTTTCAATAACTAACAATATGTTAATAATGTCAATAACAATTTAGAATTTGTATAAGTGTAATTGTTGTTATATATGTACCGGAGATTATGTGTTGTGAGACAAAAATCTAAAAAAAATTGAACATTTCATTTATTTGTTGTCACATTGATTTGCATTACAATAATATGGAAGCACTTCAGAAAAATATTTAATTGACTTACAGTAGCGGACAGAAAAGTTACCACTTTTTTGATTTTTGTAATTTTTATTATTTTTTTTAACATCAACGTAAAACTTTAGTACACATTTAATATATATTCTGATAGAGAATTAAAATCTATATCAACCCCAGTATATCAAGGTTTCAAGTTATATTAAGAACTAATAGAAATAACAAAATCAAGGAAATGGTAACTTTTCTGTCCGCCATTGTATACGCCACTTTCATAATCACCGGCAGATACATATTCGAAATGAAACGTGACCAAAATTAGCATAACAAAATAATCAAAAATCTCTGAAATAACCTGACAACGTGCCCAAACTTTGAAAATCACCCTACACATAACATGGTTGCGGAGATTCTTTGAAAATGACTCTCCGTGGCACCATCGAGAGGAGATTTCAATGGTCGTGCAATTACAGTTGCCTATTTACGGAATCGTAATTCTAATAAGATTGAAAAAGGCGACGAGAAAAGTACACGTTACTCGTCGAGCACACGACGAAGGACGTCGTGTGGATCGAGAAAAAAAACCGGGAAAATGACGGGGACGTCATGAGGCTTCTGATCCAAGAAACGTCTGTGTTCCTATGTAGGATGACGCATCTTTTCCACTCGTTCGATCACGCCGCTTTGTTGCGATCTGTACGTTGTACTTATAGGTGATTTTACTCGTAAAACTGTTCTGATTATGCCGTCGATGTCGTACGTGACGCATCGCGGATAGCACAGAATTGTGCTCGAGAAAAGAAAAATGGCGGCGCGCGCTGTGGGTCCATGGACGCAGATCGAATTTTCTCGACAAAATAAAATTAGTATATTGGGCTTATTGTTACGGTAAAACCTTTAAGGTAAGGATTTAATCAGAATGATATACAAGTATCAAGGATACGATTACAGATTAGAAAACATACTACATATGGCTACGCGATGTGAAAAATTATAACGAACTTTGTGACGAGGGAAACAGATCACAAAAAGGATTTAACATGAACATGTGATAATTGAAGGAAGACGTAATTTAATGATTGTACGTACATAAAGAATGCACCGAGAAAAACTTAGACCAGTGTGGTTTTATAGTTTATGCGCATTTATCGATGTAATTAAAGCAGCGTGCGGTATCATTAGATACACGATGCGACGAATCGGCTGTAAACTTTATTACGGAAATTTTTGGTTGATTCATTTCAGGCATTAATCTTGACGAGGCTGGTAATAATTGTATATAATTATGAGAAGCTATGATAAAAAGGTTTCACAGAGATAGCAAGAACATTTATACGTGTTTCCAATGTATAATTTGGAAATGACAAAATGGAAAACATTCGACATGATCATACATTAATGCGTAATTATCAGACAAAATAAATCTACCGTTCACAAGTACGAGGAAATTAATCCGTCGAGAAGATTTTTGCAAGGACAAAGAAAGAACTCGTTTATCCTTCTTCGAGAACAGTACTTACCTGCTACTTATTGTAGATTCATTTCACAAGCAAACGAGTTTTATCCATTTCATAATTATAATTTTGGAAGAAGATATTTTTCTGTAGTAATATAAACCGACATTTTTATAATAGGAACATGCTTGCTTCGAATATTTTGCACTGATACTGTTAAAGAATAATCATATTTTTGTATACTAAAAATTTTAATAAAATATGAAATCTTAGCTTTAACCGCACGGAAATTGTTTTATATAAATTATAACAACTAATAAATGCACCGTATTTTGTTGACTTAAGATTAAATATTAGGATAAACTGTGGCACAAAAAAATGTGAAACTTAAAAATTAAATTACTTTGAAATTTGTAAGCTTTGTAAAGGACTTAAACAAAATGATAAATGTACGAGGCAAAAGGTTATTGTATAATTAAATTTTAATGCATATCGCATAATGAAATCTAGTCATGTGATAGTTAAAGATTTTTTAAAATAAGCAGGTGTCACATTACAAGTGGATCAACGGAAGTATTCAAATCAACGGAACATAATATGTATGTATTGTACTTTCCGTCTTGATTTATAAGCAGCTGATCGAGAATAGCGCGAAAATTTAATTTCTGTTCAAGCTTTTTATTTAACTGTTGTACTTCCCATTCAAATACATATATCAATGTTTCATTCTTATGTACCTATTAATGGAAAGTTGGAAATGAGTAACAGTGAAATAAACATAAACAAGTTTTTAAGGGAAAATACCTATTGTACAGTTTATTTTATACATTAACGACTGTTTAATTCAAGTACAAGATCGAAAGCCTTTTTTTTATCTTCGAAATTGCTTTCCATTATTTCTAGAACAATGAGGAGTAATAAACTCGTTGTATGTTACACAGATTCTTCTTATTAACGTTAAATCAATTTCAAAATGTACCAAACTGTATGGATTGCACTGTTAGCTCGTTCATTATAAACTCATACTATCTTTGAAACAAAAAGGTCATGGTGCAAATGCTTTACTGTACGTCATAAATTTTTAAACGTAGCGTTCGCTTCGTTCTACTAACTGCTACGAGTTTACCTGATTTTTCCTCAATTTCATAAATTACTATTTTAAGTAATTACAAATAGTCGGCTTGACCACGTGATTTAAGATAACTTTGTTCATACAGGGTGACTCATAATTCTTAGTATAAAGAGGTACTTGAGAAATAACCTAAAAAATATGAAATACTTTCTCTCATGCTAGAAATTGTTTTCGTACTTCTTCCTCTTATTTACACACGTGGACGTAAAAATTTTCATTACCTCGTCAAATTTGTTCTTTAACTGAATGTCATAATAAATTGCATACAAGGCAAAAACAATAAAAATAAATTGCCTTAATGTAATTACATGGCACAATCAACACGTTCCGTGCACGATCAATTTTCAGTGAATTCCATTCTAAATCTAACAGTTTTATTTATACCATCAATTTATATTAATGTACAATAGAAAAGAGATCTGTACGCAATGCAAAGCGACGAGCTCCCTGGTGTAATAAATCCACTAAAACATTCATACATCAATTAACGATGTAATAAAGTATTACATGATTACGTTACATTTAACAGCGAAAGTATTTATGATCAGGGAACGTGTCAATTTTTTGATCACTAACGATATTATTCAAAAGATTCGAAATTTCAGTACAGAATGTATCAAACAATTTTTACCATGCATACCGTTACAATTAAAACTGGAATTTTTTTATACTTGAAAATATTCACGTTATTCGTAAATATTATTCTCCATTCGAAAATGATAAATTTACTTTGTAATTTATCATAGTATTTACAACTTCAGAACGAACGAAAACAATCTACTACAAATCTTTTTGCACGACTCTCGCCTCTTTATCAATTCACCATGAATTACAAGACACCGCGTACTTGTTCGGTTGCACAGTCTATTCGTAGTGAATCGTCGCATACAAATATTACAGCCAAAAACGACGGATTAGTCGATCTCCGTAAGTTTTTATAGTGTAAAATTAAAAAAAAAAGTTAAAGCATTTTCCAATCGCAGAAAGTTGACAACAAAAGTGTATTCGAAAGAATACCGACGACTTCGTGAAACATAGGGTAAAATGAAAATTGGTGTCGCTCAAAAATCGCGAAGCAGAAAATCTAAACTCACATTGATCGACTTCCGGTCACAATAGGCAACGGAAACGCAACAAATAATACGTTTCTTTTAAGAATCATGGTCGTGTCTATTGAAAAATCCTTTACTGTTCTTTACAAACGATTCGCTGTTCGCAAGAAAATAGTTTACATCGAATAAGTGGGAATAGTCTTCTACTCTCCGTAAAAAATATGAGCAGCTATTTCCCCATCTCATCACTTAGCTACGTATTTAAGCAATACGCCATAATAAGTATTGTTTTTCTCCAACGGAAGATATTTTTGACTCTGCTTTTTTTATACACATATGGTTTTTGTAACTACAGAACCGTAGTTTCTTTTCTCATGTATTTACATAGATATAGCTTTTTTTTACGCTTTTTTTTTACATCCATACGATGATACAAGCTAAACAATGATGTTTGTCGCTTGAACTCGCGTTTAAACGTCGATAAGCGTTAAGATTTCGAAAAAGACGAAATTACGTTAAAGGAAATGATTAATCTTTTTTTCTTTTTGTTTAACTTTTTTTAAGCATACCAGGAAAATGGAGAATATATAAAAGTTTGCGACCAATTAGTTATACTAAATAAAAGCTATAAATGTTGTTCTCCTCTTTAAAGCGTAGGAGTGTACAACAATGGGTATCTTTTCGCAAAGATGCAACAACGTGCACACTTATCACGGCACAATTATTTTTGTTCTTTCTTCGTTTTTTCCTTTACTTGTAATTAGAAGCTATGGCCGTTTAACGCTAATGTATCATAAGCAACGGAAAATAATTGCTTCCTGAAAGCGTTAATTCGTGTCTTAAGTTCGTATGTCTTTTCTGCAATATAAGTTTGGCTTAGAATACCACCAGTATCACACTATATGCTTTCCTTTTTAACGCTTCTTTATATTACCACCATAATTTGTGCTTTAGAAGTAGTATTACTAGGAAGGTACTAGTTTTCTTCTCCATTGTATGTACAAATATTACACAGGCAACAAATAAATTACCTAATATTATATATATTTATATATCATGGTGATAACAAATATCCTCACGACCTGTTCTTTGTACCATTCCTTATCAATAAGGAACCCCTCGTATCGTTTCCAAAAACCCTTCATTTGCAGAATAAAATGTAGTTGAACATGAATCATTTTAACTCCTTCCGTACTTAATTTCGATTATTAAATATAGTGCATGGTGCCAAACTGTAGTTATCTCTGTTAAGACACTGGTTGCTATATCAAATTCCATAGAAGGCTGATTTAAATTATCTTTTTTTGACAAAGTAAAACTTATTTGAATAGTACATATTCTTTCAAGTTTGTCTAATCCCAATACCTTTGTACAAATTTTTCTTAACCAGTATTTCAAGCTACAAAATTAATTGTTTAACTTCACAATGGAAATTTCGACATCTACATGTGGGTAACGCGGCAATCAAAGCGTAAAACAATTTTGCACGACGCTTATATGCATTCATTGCACGAACAGGCTGTTCTGAGTTTAGAATTCATAACGGTCCACCATGCGAAAAGGGTTACACGAGAAAGTTATATTAGAATGATAAAGGTTACCTATGTTTCTGCCTATTTTTTTTTTTTTGCTTTGAACTATAACTGAACTAATAATTGTATTCAATACTTTGAATATCAACTAATAATTAATATTTAATAATGAATACTTTCATAAATCTCAGCTACACAAACGTTTTAAATTGTTTGTATAGAGTAATTAAATATTTTAATACATATCCATTCGATCGTTGTTGCAGAAAACATTAGTTGATAGTTTTCCGGAAAGATATGTTTTAATTCAACCTTAATCATGTCGAAATAAGCAAGGACTTCACCTCGAAACAAGAAATGACTTCACTTCGATTAACGTGACTTCTCTGTACTTCCTTATTGTCAAGTATGGTAACAAATCACAATCAAAACAGATAGAAAGGAGCATGTGCAGCTAATAGTCTGTACAAGAAAACATTACAGTGGAAGAATTAATTGAGCAATACGTTAAATGGCTCTACGAAGGCAGTGTAAGAGATTTTCTTATACAGTGTTAAATAATTCCTAATATTCGAGTAAGTGATAAACGAAATCATATATAACGCTGCATATTTGAATAAAATACAACGCTTATATGTCACGGAATCGTTTCGCACGTAACGACGCTGAATACTGAATACCTGAATTTGTGAGAAGGGATTGAAGAATATGGATATTTAATGGACAAATCATTATAAGTTGAAATAAAGTCTACTTGTATCATTCTTACATTGAAATGACTATATCAATTTAAAAATCTTCATATCATTTCGTTATTTGAATTAACGAAATGACAACTACACGATTTTGACAAAAAACTGTTTTCAATTATTAATAGCATTTTAGAACTGTAACTATTCATCCGCAAATACGATAACGTGAATTTTGGCTACATAACAGTTCCACTGAAAAGTTACAGTAAAGAACCAATATTTTACGCATTAAATTATATATATGTACATACACATTCTCTCTCTACCTGCCTTATATGTTAATTAAATCAGACTCGAATTTCAATTATACCTACGACTTAGTTTGCAAAATAGAGGGTGACTTAGAGTTGAAATGGTCATTAATTTTTTACACATGGTTAATTGGCCGCGATCCAGCCATTCGCTACCAGATAATGTAAAATCTTACTCTCTGGTTCCGACTGAGGTACAACGCCAGATCTCCTATTACCATTTAAATACTCCTGTAATCACAAAATTTTTTCGTATATATAGTCTATGCAAAAAGATAAATATACTGACCAGGCAAGTTTGGCAATTAGAAAATGAAAAAAAAAAAAAATTTGGAACTTGTAGAAATCTAGGTATTGTGATATCAATGCCATAGCAATATTGTATTTTGACAATGAAAGAAGTCTAACAAAGTGTCAGATGGGAGTAAATTTTGGAGAAAAAAAAATCTATATTTATTGTAGGCATTTGTAGGCTACTTAATTATACTATTTCAAAAGGTCTAATGTATCATAAAATAAATCGAATTTCTAAAAAAATGTCCCTTAGGTCGCATATTTAAATCTGACTTTATTCAACGTTTTTAAATCACTCTGTATGTAATAGAATAACGAAACTTACTTGCAACAACACCGTTTTCTGCGTTAAATACTGCGTTGGCTTTAGATCAAGTTGGAGACACAAAGATTTTTCTTGTTTCGTTAACAAATGTGCAGCAGTTTCCATTTCAATGTCTCGCTCTTCTAAATCTCTTATTGCTGAACAAGATTTTCCGGAAGTTGTCGCAGTGAAGTTTCTTTCTACAGCAGAACTGGAACTGGTAGAGTGCTGGCTGGAAGAATTCAGATAGTTATCCGGCTCCGCCCACTGATTGGCTGGAGTCATCGTCCGATTGGGATTGGTTTGACTGAGCGAGGAGCTGCTGCTGGGTAAGTCTTTTGCAGTGTACTTTCGGTCGATGGAAGAGTAACTTTTTTCTTCTTCTCTGTTAAACATAATGCAAAAAATGTATCTTTTTTATTGCCTGAATTAGAGGAAGTATAAATTATGTAGTTTTGTGTCTCTAGGAATTGTAGTAGTAGATCCATTGAATGTTTAGAATACTTTTGTACCTTTTTTTTGAGGTGTGGCGGTGTATTGGTGTGGACGGCCCACTGCTGCCCTAAGTGAAATGCAAACTGATACAATCTGTTCACAAATGCCTGGCAACACGCACCACAAACAATGGAATTAGTTAAAAGGGAAGCAAAAGCTAATGCATACAGTATAATTAAGGCTCTGGTCTTTCATATTCAGGGATGATGTTCTTCCTCTATTTTACTGACACTGTTATTATCATGAAAATTTATTCCATAGTTGTTACGACGCTTGTTAAAACATTGAAAAGAAGGCATATTACTATTCTCGCCCAAAGATTCAAAAAGTGTTAATTACATATTTGTTTTCAAACAAAACATACATAACGATTTAAAACTGTTGCTGCATATTTCAGGAACCCTACTAACTTTTATGAATGCGCTTGTACTTTTGTACTTCTAATGTACTTTTAAATATGAGTAAATATATCCAGTATAACATACCATAAAATGCAAGGTATACCTTTTAAAAACAATTTCAACTGCCGTTACAATGGAAAAAAATTAATGAACAAATGGAAATGAATACTTACAGATTTTTTTTCATTCCAGTGGTCCGTTGCATCATTTTGTCCCTGAGATTGAGCCAGCACTTGTTCGAAATGAGCGCATTCTTCGTGCCTTGTAATCCCGTGGTCTCGGTAACGATATAACTCTGAAAGACGCAAGCGCAACTCTCTTTCTCTTTCAAGATTCGTCAAGAACTGTTCGTACTCCTGTGCTGTATAAAATTGTGCAAACGCTCGCATTCTGTCCCTGAATTCTCTACGAATAATATACGTTTTTATTACAACATTGTATGACAATAACTGGTTTCTTGATAAACATAAACTATGACTTACTTTTCTTCCTTTGATTGCTTTTTCTTTAGTGTCTTATCTTTCCTAGACAAAGCAAAAAAAGCAGACACAAGTTGATAATCTCGTACTACCCTTTTTCGTCTTGCTCTTTCTCTTAAATTGTTTGTATACATGTCAACTTGTGCAAGCTTAAGTGCTATGTCCAAATCATCATCCTCAGCTGGATTTAAGAATAACGAAGAAACAAGAGATTCTGCTTCATGGTTGTAATCCTAAAAGAATTTGATATTATAGTACACATATGCTTATGATATAACATTTAACCCTCCGAGTACTGGACTCCGCGGGGCGTCCGAGGCCGAATCATTTCTGACTCACATCGATAGGTAACTAACACAAACTCACGGTGGCTCGAGCTCGAGGCCCTTACCAACACTGTAAAAGTTTTGTCGATTAGAAGGAAGGACAGCGTGTAAAAAAGGAAATAGAGTGAGCCGAAGACATAAGTCAATTCTTCTGCGGCGTCTTAGTCCGGCCGTTTTCATAAAATGTCACGTGGTCAGTTCCCGAATTACACGAACTTCATCACTGTATGTGTATCGCTCTCGCGAGCATGTGACTCCGGCCCAGGCCACGGAGGGTTAATATGAATTATTCATTCTATCTTACTCTTTCAAAATCATCTCGTTGTGGCATGTAACCCAGTTGTGCAGCTTCTTCTGGAGTAATATCCAATGGTGGTAACCGCGACGTAAGATCAGGTGACAGAGGTCCATGATCCGACTTAGTTTGGTCCGTAAGATTTGGTTTGTAGCTTTCTGTTGGTGGCCATGTGTGTTTGCCAATATTACCATCGAGATACCTGGCAATGTATTCCTCTTTTGCTTCTATAAAATACATAATGTACAAAATATTAAGAAAAGTAAACATTCTTGTTGTGGGAATTATTTCAAAGGTAAATTTGGATTTTCTGTTATAAACGTCTATACATATGAGATGTAACTCTGAATTTAAATAATAAAAAAAACTGTCAAAATATTCTCACATTTATCTTTAAAAAATTGTAAAGAGAAATATTTCCATCAGTGCAAATTAAACATTTAAACACTCTACCTTCTGGTGTACGTGTTTCAATGTGTTTGCTAATGTCTTCCCAGTTTCCAAAACCAAATTGTTCAATAGCATCCAAGAGTCTAAGTTGTTCCCTAGCAGTCCAATTCCCTCTACCATTAAATATACTAATGGTACCAGAATCCTGTAAAAATGAAAATTGATTATGTCTCTAACCAACAACAAAAAAATGGTTCAAATGAAAATCATTATATATTCATGCTTACCATAAACTGATAAGAATGATCATTTTTGTGCGGACCGATTTCAGCTCCCGCGGAAAAACACTGTTAACGTTTAAAAGCATTATTTTCCTCGTATATATTATATCAATCACTTCACGCGATACACGTGCTTTCTGATGATCAGCAGTTTCATTCAAGTCACGTGGACGTAGTAAGGCAGTTACGGAATAACTTCACAAAAAAAAATACGAGGGTGGAGAACGAAAAAGGAAACTCCTCTCAGACGCAAAATCCGGTGAAACCGGAAGGATAGACGAAGACACGAAGGAATAGGAGAATAGGCAGAAGAGGGGGGGAAAGAGAAATGAACACGTGACCAAGAAACAGGCGTTCACTCGACTCACCTGCAAGCAGAGGTCGAAATCCGGGCATTCTACGCATCTTACACGTAAACCCGTGATGTCCTCTTGACAATAGGTGCAGTTGTATTTGGCATACAAATCTGAAAGCGAAGAGTCGTAGTACATTAGCACCCCAATGAATACAGACTCCAATTGAAATCTATGGCCTCTTGGTGTCGACGTAAAATACATACCCGCCATTATTGTCCTGCAGGGTTCTTCCAGAACGATCCGGATGACGTCACCGCATGCCAGAAACCCATAAGTTTACGTATCACGTACATCGAGCGTGCAAACTCGACCCCATTTTTCCGCGAAATCTTATGAAAACGCGGAAAAATACTGGTGCGTCTGCCAGGACGCTCTATTTACCGTGCAAGCGTAAACTTGTGAGGAATCTGATTGGAAAAAATGTTGTTTACGACTGTTGCGTCGAGAAACGAGTACGCATGCGTTTTCTGTCCCACCACCTAAGTATACTGCGACCCATGTTCGCCAACGTTGCGATGAGAAAAGTCGGTTACGATTTTTTGCGATATGAATATATCGACTGCGCGCAAATTTAAGTAACGAAATTACGATCCACGATGTTCAGTTTTCTTTATATAAAATTTGTCAATTTCTAGATGAATAAAACCCTCTAAGCTGAATTAGTAATCATTTATGAGCGGTGCAACATGTTTGTAAGTAAATATTTAAAAAATTATATATCCATACGAACTGTGTAAAATATAAATAAAATAAAAAAAAGTAATAATTTCAAATTTTATTGTAATGAAAATACTTCGAATGATTGAAAAAAAAGAAACATGAGTTATTTTTATTAAATTATTATAAGCATGATATATGTACACATATAGATTAATTATTTATACCTTTTTCATCATAACATGCTTATTTATTATGTTGTTTAAATATTCATTATTTTCTATAGTATTTAGGTATAAATGTAAATAAAAACTTTAATCATATGTAATTAATAGAATCATCAGTCAAGGCATTTTTATAAGAACACTGCTTTATTACGTCAATCATTTTACACAGGATATGCAAATTTCAATTCAAATAAAGCATTTCAGAAATTTAAATTAAAACAAGCAAAAATGCAGGTATAAATAGCTCTAATGTATAATTAAATTAAATAGTTTGTGTATTAAATACTATTTATTTATGTGAACAGTGTGATGATGGACTTCCTGTATTTTTAAAAGGTGGTTTTCGTGACAAATTATTATATTGGACAACTATAGTGTTAACTATATACAGTACAATTGAATCATTCAGAGGAGTACGTAAATTAAGCAAATCTTAGCATATGGCATTGGTGATACAACAGACAATACATCACAATTAGAAAGAGTTTGAACTATAGAAAGTTGTATATTTCTTAATAAAGTTTTGCATTGCAATTTGGCACTTTCGATTATCAATTGTTTCAATACTAATATAAGAATTAAGTTTTTAATATTAAATACCTTATTATAAAATATTACCATATAATATGTTATACGTATATATTTTTTGGACATGTTTCATAATATGTACATAGAATTTGGAAGAAATTCCAAGGCACTTGAATGCTCTGCAAATACCAATATGGATTCCAATGCACTTCCTCTTTGTGATAGCATGTATTTATTCTTTATGACAGTAAGAATGATGAAATAATTTGAAGGAAAATATGGTATTTTATCAAAAAACGAAAAATTAAAACCAAGAGAGATAATATGAAGAAGATGTAAAGCACAATTTAAATGCAAAGAATCAAGGAGGAAACAATAAAACTATTATTAAATAATATCTTATCAAATCTGTAACAGTAAAGGGTGAATAATAAAATTGCATAGATTTTTCAAACATGCATTGATAAATATTACTTTTATATCAAACAATATATAGTTAAATACTTCAACATTTAAATATATAAAAAATTATTAAGACAGTTTTGTAATATGTGAAATAAATGTACAAATGAATATTATATAATAACATACATATAAAGTCATTTGTGGCACATTTTAGTACTATACATTAAACAAATGCTTTTCTATTTTGATTTAACATTCATTAATATTTCAAGCAATAAATTAAGAAAAATAAATTCTAGTTTTTCCGCGTTGGTAATGCAGGAGCATCAATTACGAAATATGTATATGTAATAGTTTTGTTATCACAGAATAACGTATGTACACGTCACTATAATTGCATAATTACCCCACCAAAAAGCATCAAAATAGTCAATTATTTGTGACACTCAATTATTAGTGTCGTTTTCAATATTTTTTTGCATTTCCTCGTTATTCTCTTCTTTGGAAGCATAGTGGTTTCCTATATTATTTGACACATTATTAACAGAGTTTTGAGCATTTAAAGGGACGTTTTTATTACTCATATGCATCGTATATGATTTTTCTTCAAAACCTTTATTTGTACCTGTATTTGAGCTATCTTTTGTATTTGTATTTTGATTGATTTTTTCTAACTTTTGCGTATTTTGAATATTTAAATTTCTTAAAGATTCTGACAACAACTGAGAGTCTTTTACTGTTGTTTTTAAATGAGATTGCAACTCAGATACATCTTTTTTATTATTTGAATTACTGGTAACAAATTGTTTCTCCTGTTTTCTTCGTTGTATTAAATTTTTTAAAGCTTCGCTAAATTGCATTAATGTCTCAGAAATTGGTCTGTCCATGTAAGTAGCTTCAATTCTGTCAAACTGATCATCTTCTTCAGAAACTAATTCACTTTTTATTTGTTTAAACTGATTTATTATATCCTTTAAACTTTCTTTGGCATCTTGTATCGTTTTTATATCTTCGATTTTCGTTACATCTGCTACATTTGTAGATTCTTGAGACAGATTTGTACTTGTGTCTGTAGATTGTTTATTAATTACTGTTTCCTTCCTGGAATTTTCTAAATCTTCATGTATAAAGTCTTTTTCAAATTCTTTAAATTGATTTATTATGTTTCGAATGCTTTCCTTCACATTAATTGTTCGATGTTCCTTATTCCGTTCTTGTACCGTTGCAGGTAGTTCCTTTGGCATGATTTTCATTTTTTGCTGAAGTTCTATTTTTGATGGAATTATTTTTTTTACTCCTGCATTAATTTTTTCGGGAACGTCTAATAATTTTTTTTCATCTTCCATATCTCTTTTAAGTTTAACTGCCTCTAATTTTTCTTGAATTAATTTCCTAACAGTTTCTTTTAAAGTGCTACTCTCTTGATGAACATTAGTAGCTTTAGATTTTTCCATATCTACTTCCTGTTTTTCAGTTTTCTCACTCTTGGTGTCTACCTGTTTTTCATTACTGCTAGAAGTATTTTCAATATTATGCTGTACATTTATATTAGTTTCAGTACTAACATTGGTTTCTATTTTAGATGCATTTGGTATCTTTTCCTCTTGAACTGATGTTTTTAAATGTAATAAGTCGTTTTCAGATAAATTAGTAGTTTTTTGTTCCACATTTAATGGTTCAACATATTCATCAGAATTATTTAGAATCTTATTCAACTGTACTGCTTCCTGTTCGCCCTCTGTATCTAATTTATTTTCATGGCTAATATTTAATGGTTTTTCAAATTCTTCTAATGACTCCATAATCTCACCTAATATTGGTTCCATACTTTCTGTAGTCTCATTTATTACATCTTTAGTTTCTGTACGTCTTTTCGTATTATCCTCAGTAGGTTCCTTTACAGCAATTTGTGCTTTTGCTTTCTTCGGGTCATATTTTATATTAGGTTTCCTTTTCATAATAAATATAATAGGCCTAGTTTTAATTCTTATAGGTGGTAACATGTTATAATTCAGTGCGATATGAGAGAAACCATCTACAGAATCTAGAATATCATGAGTTTTAAGATAGGGTTTTATATTTGGTGAGTATTTGCTCTTAGCTTCCATTAAAAGATGTGTGAACTGAAGCATTTCTGGATTATCGATGGTTAAATTTTCTTGTTTTGAGTAACTGAAAGACAGTTGATATTAAACTAAATTATATATAATTACAAAAATTGGTTTTTAATGTCTTGTTATTTTTGGTTTATTAAATGATATGTTTATGCAACAAAATTTATCATACTACTTACATCCAAGAATCGTTTGTCTGTGTAAATCTTGAAACTCCTGTCTGTGCAGTAAGAACATCAATGTGTACATGCACTGGATCGACAGAGTCTTTTTCCAATCTGTGTAATTTAGCAATAGCTAAACCTCCAGGATAATTAGAACCAGCAACACACAACAGAAACATAGAGAACAAAGCATTTAGAACTAAATGGCTTACAATGATCAGTGCCATAAATCCATTCCATGGACTTTTTGCCCTGTTCTCCCATCTATGTATAAAAAAAAAAATATGTATAATTATAATTTGAACAAAATAAGAAATAAAAAATAACATAGAACTAAATTATTAAGTAAAATACTCACATTCTGTGACAAACAGCAGCTGCACTAACGTTTAGTAATGGAAATACATATATGATAAACCTCAATTCTTTATGTGGAAGAAATGAGAATAGAGCAACAAATACAATACCAGGAACTGTTAATGTTCGAACTCGAGCATCCCAAAGCATGCCCAAAGGTATTAAAAAATATGAAAAAGCCAATCCTCTTGGGAGTGCTGAATAAAAGTACCATAGAAATGGTGATGTCTGTATTTATGTTAAGATCAGAAGAAATATTTTGAATTTATCATTTTATAGACTTGAGAGGAATAGTTTCGAGAATATCATATTTTGTTACAGTCTGATAAAGGATACACCCCATTCACTGCTCTTATTAAGGATAGTGTTGAAGTAAAACACTTCCCCTTCAGGCCATAATATACGTCTCCAAAATATGGAATCTATTGTAACCGTTAGCATTAGAAAAAATATACCAGCTGGAACCGCAATTTTAAGAAATCTGAAAATTATTATACTTATGAAATTATCATTCAGCAAAAAGACAAATAAATTTTAATGGATGAAACATTTCCCATAATAAAATTAATTTTACATCACTTCTCCTTCCTACTTTCAATAATGATGACAAAACTTATTGCAGTTCATAAAATGAGGGATGTATATTTGATGTGGTTATTTTTTGGAGAAGGTTTTCATTATATTAATAAGTTTTATAAGCAAACGAAGCTTACAAATCAGTGCAGTTTTGCAGAATGTCCCTTGATGATTCTAATCACTTCTGTTTGCAATGTTACAGCCATACTAGGAATCAATGGTCCGCAATATAATATGTAAATACCTTGGTATGGTCAGTTTCATGTTGGCTATATCGTACAAAAGGAATAACCCCAGTAGCATAGCTAGTTCTGCTCTGAATATTATTATTGCTGCTGCAGATGACCAAATAAATGTGATGTGATTCTGTTTCAACCACCCAAATAAAGCCAGTAGTACTAAAATATATTAATGATACAAAACCAATGTTCCTTTTGTTTAATACAATCTCAAAATCAAATAAAATGTATGTATCATTTATCAATTACCTAGTGGTATTGCCAATATATTTGGTAATGGACGGCTTAAGTAATACATGAAATGATATTGTGTCACGGTAATTGCCACAAACCATTTTGTAAATTGTAAACCAAAGATACTTTGTAAAGCATCTCTATATAATTTCAACATACTTATTATCAACAAACCCAATATTGCTCTTACTGGAAAATAATATTATAAGTTATTCCTTTATTTTCATGTAAAGTATGGACAAAAGAAACTCTGTTGTCATTCACATAGGAAAGGTGTGGAATAATATAAATGCAATTAATTCATTAACTCACTTACCAACATATTGAGCAAAGAATTTATTAAGTCGCAAATAATTAATGGTTGCTATTAGTGGCGATGCCAAGCCTGATATTATAATTGGTCCCACAAATGATCGTGGCACAACTCCAGGAAATTCATGATGATCATACTATCACAGAATAAAAATATGTTGGAAACAATTAGTACGAAACTTTATTATTTTTCACAGGTGTACTTGATTATATCAATATTGTAAATCGTGAAATTTATCATTTCATCCAAATACAGTGTTAAATAATTTATAAAAATGATTTAATGAAATCTTTCAATGTATATTATGAAAAATTCCGTAGTGTACATTCTAAGGAAAGATAGCATTAATGTGTTAATAAACAGTTAAGCGAACCGAAACTATATCAGCTGATCGTGAGTTTATAAATACATGCATCTGCTTCTAAATATAATATCTAAGTTTTTGCGTAATATCTGTTCGATTGCGTGTCAGCAACCTGCCAAGGAAGATATATTTTCTTTCATTATCTGTCTGCATTTGTGAAGTTTATGAACGCTTATATTTACATGATATATCTTCGATAAATGCTGTAATAATTACCTCAGTTAGGTTAAAGCCATGGTATAAGATGTCGTGCATAGCCTGCAGATTAAAACTTTCTTCCACTTTTGTGAATGGACAGTACAGCAAATGTATCATAGAAACCAAGATAATTAATTGATCCATGTTTTCCACCTACACATAGATCTGCTTCAGAAACATTGTATTGTTTTGTCTTTTAATCATGACAAGCTGACGAACAAAGGTAACTTTTTAAATGCTTCTTACACCGGGAGTACCCGGACACGTCGTCTGCTGTGCTGGATGAACACCGATTCGCGCATGCACTTTCGTTGTCAACATTATAGGCCCAGAAGTTCCTAGCATTTTCAATTTATTCACTATAATCTTTTTATCGTTAAATTGATAAAATACAAAATTCTAACGATAACTCGAAAGTTTCCATTTTAATATTTCATCTAACAATCAGTGTAATTTTTATGAAAATGTAAAAATTTTTATATTTTTAATGTTAGCTAATATATTAACCAGTTAAAACTATTAGTAAGTGGGTAGTAAAAATGTATTTCTGTGGAAAGGTATTTCCTTTTTTTAAGTAAAAAGTTAGTTTATTAGCTCCCAATATTTCATCATAACAATAACGTTACCACATTTTTGTTTGTTAAGAATACTAAAAAGCGCTTTGAGAATGTACATTATTTGTTCACTTATGACAGACTATTGCAACGGAAACTTACAAAATAAATCACAATACTTGTGGTTTCAATCAAGCAGAATACTGTGTCATTAATTCTTCCACTCCAAGCGACTTTCACTGATTACGTACAGTTATTGTACGAAGGCAATATGATTTGGGAGTATTGAATGCAAAGTTACAAATCCTTGCGTAACATATCGCTAATCCTATGGTATAAAAAGATATAAATACATATACAAAGTAAGCATTTCAAATTGTAAACATTTTCTATAGGCCATCATAAAATACAATATCACAAAAGCTTCAAGATTTATAAATATCAGTTGTAGTATTAAATCGATGCATACGAAATGTCGGTTTTACTGATTTATGAAAGAAAATTATTACCATTGATTACTATTTTCATGTTAAGATGAAATCAGCGTTGTACTTTTTACGACGATTTATTTGTTTTGAGAAGAAAACTACGTAAAGATTAATTCTTTCCATTTTAAAAAGATCAAATTCAGCTAAAATCCTTTTACATGCACCAAGTTTTAATCAAACTCGAGAGCAAACTTTATAAACCATCATTTAAGATTGCGGTTTTTAATAATAATAATGGCATGTGATGATATATGAATATATTTATATTTAGTTGGAGAAAATAGACAATCTGATCTTGTGTTAATACAATTTTAAAGTTCAATAGAATTTTAAGTGTCTCTAGAAAAACATCATAATTCATATGCACCGATGTAATAGATTAATTTATCATGCTCGAAACGGAAAAGCATTTCCCGTCTTTTTACCGGTATCCCATTTAAAAAGTACCATATCAATTTATTAAATATCTTTTTTACGGCACATACATGTATGGTTTAATCCTTGGACGAGCTTCGTGTTTCATTACAAGCCGACTGCAAGATACATTTATTCCAAGTACATACACACAGATCGTTTACATTTGTTTCGTGCACATCTCCACTAATTAATGGGTTGCGAAGTTCGGGTAGAGAAAATCACGTATAAAATTGTATACGATGTTTTTATAACTGAGAAATTGCCTTTGTATAAAATGGTATCGTACACGAACAGAAAATGGACGCTCGAGACTCGAGCGAATGGAAACATCTTGAAAGTTTCTTTTTTATTAAATTATTTGTGACAATTTATGCTAATTCTAAGCGTTAATTATCGATATCTATATCGTTTTTGTTGTCCATGTCTTTAAAGAAACACTGTTTCGCCAATCCTATTCTTGATCGATTAACGTAAAACCATGTTAAAATTGTTTGCCAGTGAGAGTTAACGTCTCGGTTTCGGTGCTCGTGAATGTATCGGCTTGTTGTGCAACATGTGCTCGCATTTGGGAATGTGACGATCTGCGGCGGCCTTGTTGAATTTCCTTCCGCAATGAGGACACTGAATGTAATCGCTGGTATCGCTGGCTGGTGGTGGCGGCAAGTCGCTGAGCTTGCCTCCTGCAGCCAGGTGGGCTTGCACCTGTTTCGCCGAGCGTATGGCGTTGATGAAGTCTTCGTGTTTGCGTCGCCAGTTCGACTTCACCTCCGGCGGTTTCTGAAAGATTTGAACAGACCATTGGTTTCATCCCTTGGGAACAAATCGTGTTTCGACTCTTGGGAAAATAATTAGTTGCGTATGGGAAAACGTTCATTGATCGAGGCGGATACATATTAAATTACTAACGGACTTGGGAAAAATCTCACGATTGTTTCTCTTGATATAGAAAGACTGCTGGTGAAGTTAAAAAGTCTGGAAAGCATATTCCCCGTGAGTGTAACGTGTACTGGCAAAATTAATGATTTCATATACCCAGGTGATAATTTGAATTCCATTTCATCGAGATTTGTTTGTTTTAGGTGGTGGTTTTTAACGAATCGAGGATTGTGCAGTAATAAAGTCTGATCTGATTAATTATTGGATATTTTATCGAAGTTACAGGTAATACCTCGATGATTGTTTGCTAATCTATATGTGATATTTTTTACTATGTTTTGAACAAAATCATATAGGTACTTAAAATTCTAAAGAGTGATGTCAAAAATGAAGAAGTCTTAGCTAAGAGAAACAATTGTAATGTTTCATGCTGTAGGAATAAAAAAAAAACGTTTGAAGAAGAAGGACAATGATTCAACAATCGGAGTAAGGAATACCGACCTCGGTCTGCTTTTTACAGACTCCTTTTTTGACAAATTTTTCCAGCTCGGTACCCTTTACTCGGAACATCACCGAATCGAATTGCTTCCTCTTCTTTTGAGCCGTTTTTGCGCAGATTTGTTCGTGGAGGATCACACGGTCTTGGGCGAAACGACGTCCACACATTTTACAGGGAACTAGAAGGTCACTGTGAGAATATTTTGCTTAAAATTACAATGTGTTGATCCGAGACCTAATTTCTAATTGAAAGAAAATTAGTTTAGTTTAGCAAATATTAAAGCTATTATAGATACATATTACAATCTTATAGACTATTCGATAGGAATGTCTATAAGTTTCGATGAACCAAAATATTATAAGTATTTGAAAATGTAACATTTTTTCCTTTTTGATATTTACTTTCAACTGCAAACGGTTTTAAAATTTTTTCTGTAGTACCATATTTTCATTTAGAACATCAAGTAGTGCTTTACAATTTACTCTACGAAACAGAACATTTAATTATATAGGAGTATTTTCTGAGAAGAAAAGATTCTGGATTTTAAAAATTTCAAATATTTTGCATAACTCATGGCTATAAACTCTTATTCGAACTTAAAGTATAAAGAGGTTGTAATAAAGATACTAATAACTGTAAATTTTCTTACCTAGCGCAAGCATTTCCAGTTTTTGGTAACGCTGATGCTCTGGACGATGTGGAAAAGTTCGACGCTCTCGTTTTGGACGCCATTTTGGATTTGGAACCGGAAATGTTGGCCTGCATGGAGCTACCGCTGGAGGTGGACGAAACTGATGAAGGAGGTCGACCCGCTTGGGTGGAAGGTGCCTGTTTCTAAGTAGAATAAATGTCGAATGAAATTGATTCCAATTAATAATTAACAAAACATCAATGCAATTGAAAGTAAGAAATATGATGTGTAATATCAGATTTTGTAGAATTTTGAATGTGGAAAATACCTGTTAAAATCACTCTCGAATTTTGAAGCGACAGAACTCGAAAATTTTGCTTTCAGGAGGTTTAATTGGTTATAGAAAGAAGAATGGAAAATCCATGTGCAGTTTCACTTGGAATACTTGGTTTAATCAGTGTCAGAAAACAGGAGTCATTTTATTACGAAAATACGTGTCGATATGAATTGCTTTCCTACTGACTTCTCTCGTTTCTAACTTCGAGTCGTAGAAAAATTGAGCATGACGTTCGATTGGTATCGTGTACCTATTGTTACGTCAAACGTACAATGTAAATATTCATGTCATAACTTAATTATTATGAAAAGATTGTACTGTAAATAAATCTTATTTTATTGCACCAGGATTGACTGTGAAAATATATGATTCAACAATTTTTCTATACTTCTGTAGAAATATAGATGTAATATACTATAGTTCAATAGAGTGAAAAATGTTCATAAAGACTAAATAAGGTATGTCTCCACAGGTTTTCTTGTATGTTATTTGAACTTGCAATATAAATAATGATGTGCAATTTGAATGCAAATGAAAAGTATGCAATTTGAACTGCAGATATAAATAAGTAACTTTAAAAATTTTGCAATAATAAAACGAACATGTACCTACAAACATTTCTTATGTCTTTTATAATTTATCTTTAAATACAATGCATTATAAACTATCAATAATTTTCACGATCTAACAATAAGGTCTGGGTTAGGTCTTAACGTTCGACGTTTAAGACTCTCTGCCGACGAAACGTTGCTGAATAGACGCGTACGTGTAGCGTATTGAAATAATGAATTGCGTAAAGATAGCTTCAGTCAGTTATAAAAGTATTGAGCGACAAAGAGGACATGATTATCCTATACAATCACATTGGATACAGAAGAAAATTAAAAAGTTTCTGGTTGCATCCTTCTATTCATAGAATGATTAATGGTTGAATAATAAGATTACTCTGTTACGTCCTTCTTGTATAATTTAATAGTGTGCAATCGTACAAACATGCATGCTTTCCTATTGTTTGTACAAACACTGGTATTTTACTCATTTCATAATTTTAACAGCGTGCGTTATTGTATGTCTCGCGACAGGTAATGTTGTACGTTGGTGATGAAAGGGTAACGTTTTTCTTTCGTAGACAGAGTGCCCAAATCATTTTTATGTGTTATATGTATGTATAAGGTCATATTAATAATAATACAACAAAAAGAAAATAATGAAACGACATTGTTTATACAATGTCGGTCACAAGTTTAAAGTAGCTTTCAGTTTTATAAAAAAATTTCGTTTGAGGAATATTCCGGATATGACTATAATTTTCATTTTAAATTGTACATGAGGAATGTTTTCTTAGTACGTAACATTTTTAATAAAATAGATACGCGTACCAGCCCCAGGCCCCACTTTCAAGGGGGGCCCTAATCTAAGCCTTACGTTCATGTAAAAAAATAATTGAATGAAATTTTGTTTACTGTTTCCCTTTTGAAATAATTAAAAATTGTACTAAATGTAGAAATACATCAGAACACATTTGTTAAAATATAACAAAGCATTATTCGTTATAATCAAGCGTTCGTTAGGATTAAATGATATTTAATTCTACTTACAATAAATTTCAATTTTTTAAGATTGATGTATTTTTTGTATGTTGTATTACCAAAATTTTGTGCCCCCCCCCCCCAACCCCGCTTTTTAACCAAGGGGGCCCTCGACGGTTTAATAGTCCTGGGCCACAAGAAATCTTAATCCGCGCCTGCTCGTACATGAAAAAAGAATTACTGATCTAAAACTCGAAGAGTGTTTTGAACTTTTCATTGGTAGCATATGTTACAATTTTTTCAGTCTACATTGTATTATTAGGTGTATCAATCTACTATTATTTCAAATTATATGTAAGACAATATATTTTAAATTGCAAATGTCTTCACGACCTTTCATTGAATAAAAATAGAGTAAAATGAGGGAAAATCATAATGAATACATGTAAATTTGGCAGTATGTATAGATATTTCACTTCCATAGAACACACGAATTTCCTTAAGAAATAATGGGTTACTTTTGCCACGCCTAATACATTACGACCTGGTTGTTTACTTGAATGTTATGAGGAAGTAAAGCAATGAATGCTTTGGTCTCACAAGGGGACCAAGAATTTCATTCGATAGAAAAAGTACAGAAGTTTATAAGGATATAGAATCATAGGTTTCTATTCTTAATTTCATAAGATAGTTTCTGTGAACGTTGTAACTCGTTACTTGTTTATGTAACAATCTTTGAACTCGAATGATCAGATGTGACTTACCTCGGTGGATGGTCTTTTAAATAGCGGCTTCCTCGGAAGTGGCCCATCGGTTTCCTTCGGCGCTTGCTCGTCGAACTCGATGACAAAAGCGTCGCTCTTCTTCGTAGTCTGCGAGTCGTTATCGTATTTCGTTTCGGCAGTTTGGTCTCGTAAATGCAGACCATTCTCGAGAATAGCGCCATCGACGACATCCGTCGATTTTCTCGTAGTCGTCGTCGTCGTAGTCGTCGCCGTCTTCCTGTTTGCAATTGGCTCCGTGCCTTTCGTAGGTGTTGGTCGTTTTGTCGACTTTGTATCTAGTGCTTTCAGGTCCGTGGAAGGACGCTACAATAAAAACAAACTCGTCTGAAACTCGTCGCGAAATTATTACCATGGTTTCTCCATTTGAATCATGTCAAACCGTTTATCTGAGATAGTTATGATGTGCATTGATCTGTGACGTGGAAGTAATATTCGAACGAAATGGTAGCCGTACATTTACACATCAAATTCTTCTATTTCATAAGCTATAAGAAATAATCCATAATATTGTTACAATGTTATCATTGATAACTTATCAATATTATTATTAGGTTGTTGCACGTGACGTGGCTTATTTTACTGATAGGTACACCCGACGTTAATTTTATGAATGAAAATGATTAACATAGCTCCTTTCTTTATTGCAAAATTACATAGTGTACTCTACCCGTTTCAAGTCTTTCACTATTTAACATAGCAGTAAAATCAATTATGTTAAACATTAAAGTTAATTTAAAGTAGAGAATCAACCTGAAAGATGGAAATTTAAGCCAAATTCATAAACAATCTCCATAAAGATGCATCGAAGTTTGTGCTAAAAGATATTGTTTAGCGATGAAAACATTCGGCGAAAAGATGGCAGCTCAAAGTGTCTTCGAAAAGTTATTTTAAAATTCAGTATGATAATTACATAATCATTACATAATTATCATTTATAACATGAATGTTACGCTTGTATTTCAATAAAAAAGGGCGCCAAAAAGTGGGTCTGCACAGGGGCGACCAAGTACCCTGGACCGATACTGTTCTATTGTTAACTGTATTTAACATTTCTAGAGTTATTGATGTGCTAACAATTATATGTAAATGCGTCTTTTACACTTATAATGCTTCCCTTTTTAGAAATACTTTAGACCGTGTTTCCATTTGAATCTCTAATTACGTTTTCTTAAAACATATTGTTTTGAAAATGTATTCTTAATTTTCTTACTAGATCTTGATCAAATATAGAGAGACGGTAAGTGAGTGTTTAAACATATTCTTGCGAAACTGAATCTTGTAAACTTTCCTTCTTAATAATTCATGAATGGAGTAATTAATTGGTTGATTTCAAATTCCACGATAGTCGCTTGTTTAACATCTACATTAAAGTTACGTGGATATTTATAATAATATTGCGTTTAAATAACTTCAAACATCTTTTTGCGCACGACTACCACCCGATTTGAAATTTAATAAATACGTATCGAAGATTTATGTTAGTTATGTAGATACTGAAACTTTCATTGAAATCGGTTAATACAGAAACGAGCGACAGGCATCAAAAGATGCAAGAATTGTTAGATTTACTGCAGTTGTAGGTCGAAAGTTACTAAAAACTGTGATTTTCAACATTCTTAATCGTTTGTATCTCGTAGCAACGTTAATCGATTTTGATGAAATTTTCAACATGCATATGTATAACGAACATAAATCTTCGATATGTATTTATTAAATTTTCATTACAGTCTCGAATAAAAAAGTTGTAAAAAGGAACCTTTACTATTTTCTTCGCGATTAGGACCAATTGCAATGTTTTCAAATTTTTTTTACACATCATTTGGTAAACTAATGTCACCAACTTCACAGAAGTACTCAAGTCATTTGAACCTTAAATTTAAAAAAAGTTGTTCCGTTTTAAAAATGTGGCCGATGAACTCATATATATGCGTCCGGCAAAAACAACTATGTAACAGAGTCCAATGTCGCTACAGCGACTGGGCTCTACAGAGTGTTTGACTTCAAACTGTCTCGTTCGCAAAAGGTTATTGCGATGATTGTCAAAGTCAAAGTGACTGAATAGCCGGTAGTACCATTTTAAAAGAAGTTCTGTACTTTTAAAAAAAATTACTCACAAAACTGTTCCTATGGAATAATGTTTTTTTACTTTTAATTACCTTAAACTCTTAATACCCAAATATATTCAGAAGATAAAATTTTTGTACATTACAGATTGTTATTAGCTAAAAGTTTAAATTATCCTTTCCCCTGATAATCAATGTAATAAAAAAGGCTTGGTATTGCAAGGGTCAATGAGTTCTCGCAAATTTTACCGTTTCTTTCTATTTCAGTAATTCAAAACCCACCCTCAAAGAAGCACTTCAACTGGAAACACTTTTTACGGAAGCTTTACGTAATTCTGCTTACCCTCGTCACCGTATCCGGGCTTTTCGACAGCGACGAACGAACGTTCCTCCGCACACGGTTGCTCGTTTCCGTCGCCTTCGTCGAATCTGGACTGGGACTTTTCACCACCCTGGAGAAACGCGTCACGGACTTTACAAAACTCTCCGTATCTCTTAAACCGTTGTCCCTCACGCTAACATTCTTTGATTGTCTCGACAAATACACCGGTTTCTGACTTTCGACGTACGCATCGCTATTCAATACGCGCGATTTCCTCGGTCGAACAGTACTCGAGCATCTTAAAGCATTGTTCGCAATCGCCGACATAGACGTTCCCGTTGCTCCACGACTAGAGGAACATTCGCTCTCCATTGATTTCCGAATATCCTCGATCGATCTCAGTTGTTTCACAGTAAGCGAATGATCCGAGTCCGACGTACCTGTTGATGTTTCATCCGTTCCCCTTTTGTTCGCTTTTTTCATCAATGATCCGTGACCCGCAGTAGGTTTTAAGAATTTCGAGCTGCCTTTTAGAGACTCAACCAATTCGCTTTTGTTCGACTTCGTCGTTTTAGACAGAAGGCGAGCTGAAGTATTCGTTGAATCGCCACGCTTCGATCCCGAGCCACCAGTTTCAGTGTCTTCCCCCGAGTCTGCGTCTTGGAAGAGTTTCCGTTTGCATCCTGGCGATTCAGACCTTACTATTCTGGCGATCTCTATAGAACCCTTAGCTTTAGCGAATTTTTTCCGACGTCGAATCTCTTCCGGTTTGGAAGCTTTCCCTCTGCGAGAACCTTCCATAATCTCGGGAGCGTTCGTGGAGATTTTCTTTGAACGCCTGCCCGACGGTTTGTTCTCGGGGCTCCACGGGAAATTTACATTCGACCGGTCGAGTGCTTTTAGAGAAATCGTCCTCGAATCATCCGCTGAGCCCTCGATCCTCGATTCTTCCAGCGTTTGTCTTTTCTCCGTTATCGATTCTTTGCTTCGCCCTAAAGCACCGCGGAAGGAGCCCGCGCCAGCATCTGTGCAAATAGAGTCGAAACGTCTAAGTGCTGACTCTACCGAGTCCGTTCTCTCATAATTCTTGTTCGATGATCCGTCGTTTGCGTATTTCATTTCAACTGATACGATGGAATCCCTTTCCTCTTTTTCAAACTTATCCTCTGAACTGTCCTCTTGTGTTTTTAAAGTCTTACTAGAAACGTTTATTTCACCGTTCATGATCTTCCGCACGAGTTCTATCGATCCCAAAGCTTGAGCTTGTTTCGACGGGCTTAGCGTTTGCTTTCTGGATCGCGAAGATTCTCGAGAGTTTTCTTCGTTCAGGATATCTTCCTTCGACCGACGAGGTTTCGTGTTACGAAAAATCGATTCGTTCATCGGAGAAAGACTGACGCTGCAAGACCGTTCCATGCTCGATGTATTTCGTGTCATTTGCTTCAGACTGACACCTTTCCCTTTCCTCGTAGAATCTATCGGCCGCTGATCTCTTTTCGATAACTCGAAAATATCCGATTCTAGAAGAGATCCCCTCTTTTTGCTGGGTTTATGCACGGAGTATGCGAACACGTTCTCCGATTTCCGAAAGGACCCCGACGTTTTGGTCTTGGACGATTTCGTGTAAGTGCTTCGAAGCTCACGATGAAGATTTTTCTGTTTCACGTTTTGATCGGGCATGGTAATTTCTTGAATCTCTGCGTCCACATCCACGGAGGTGGAACTTTTCGGACTGGATTCCGGAGCAAGAAGTTCGTATCTTCGAGGGGAAGGAGTCGTTGCCCTTTCGTGAACATTTCTATTCGCCCTGGGTGTCCCCGCTTCATCCAACTTCGACCGGGTTTTCAATTCACCGCCCCTGACACTGGATGTTCCTTCTACATCTCCAGTTGGAGTCATGTCTTTCCATGAAGCTCCATTACACTGATTATTCTTCTGATGTCTTATAACGTCGCGAATCAACCTCGTGGATCGTAGAACATTACTGGAAACTCGGCGAACGGTCCCTTTGGGATCCTTAATCAAGAACTCGGGGCTTTTGGATGATCTGTTTTTAGAATGAAACTTTGATGATCGGGGACTTTTGGAACGCTCTTTTAGCGAATCCTTCATTGGTTTAGGTTTCAAGCTTACTGTTGTAGCTAATTTTTCTGTTTCATAGCAATAGAATTCTGGATTTCCACTTCTGCCTGCAATTGAGTGTGGATTTGGCGATGAATTGTGACTGCTTCTACCGGTACTTGCATTTACTTCTGTATTTTTAGATGAAGTGAAAGTATCAGGACTTTTTGATGATCTATCTTTAAGTTGTACAGTTGTAGTTTGAGGACTCCTGGGACGCTCTTTCAGCGAGCCATTCGTTGGTTTAGGTTTCAGGCTTATTGTCGTAGCTGATTTTTCTGTTTCATAGCAATAGAATTCTGGATTTCCACTTCTGCCTGCAATTGAGTGTGGATTTGGCGATGAATTGTGACTGCTTCTACCGGTACTTGCATTTATTTCTGTATTTTTAGACGAAGTGAAAGTATCGGGACTTTTTGATGATCTATCTTTAAGTTGTACAGTTGTAATTTGAGGACCTCCAGGATGTTTGTTTAGCGAATCCTTCGTTGGTTTAGGTTTTAGGCTTACTGTCGTAGCTGATTTTTCTGTTTCATAGCAATAGAATTCCGGAGTTGCTCTATTTTTGGTTGTAATTTTTTGTGATAATGCAGGACTATTACTTCCGCTGGAACCACTACTTATGTGGATATTTTTGGTTGCAGTAAAAATATCAGAACTTTTTGACGATCTGCTTTTAGACCGGACACTTGTAGCTCGAGGACTTTTGGAACGTTCTGTAAAGTCTTGTGAGTGTTTCGGTTTCAGACTTACTGCTGTAGCTGACTTATCTGTTTCATAGCAGAAAAATTCTGGAGACTTGCTTCTGCTGTTCATAAGTTTCTGTTGATTCGGCGATAAATGTCGAGTGCTTCTATCACTGCCACAAATTACAGTGGCGTCTTTAGACAGTATGAGGGTGTTTGGAGACTTAGATGACTTATTTCTCGATTCGATCTTCTTGGATACAGTAGTTCCAAGACGTTCGTTCGAATCTTTCGAGGTCTTAGGTCTCAAACTCACAGTCGTTGCTGATTTTCCTGTTTCGTGACAATAAAATTCCGGAGTTATGCTTCTACTTCTATCTACATTTACCACTGTACCATCTTTACCAGGAATTTTATGATAACATGGCGGACTAGGCGACTTCGTGTCTTTCAGTGACATTGGAGACGAACTTCGAGACTGATCTAAACTTCTGCTAGTTCGCGTCTTTTGAAAATCATTCTTTGCACTAAAATCCATGCTTTCGGAAGCTTTTTCACATTGCTCGGAAAAGTATCGCGATACCGAGTTCCGTATGCTATATTTCGAACTTTCATCAATGGCGTCTGCAGACAATTTTTTATTTGTGCCAATATTCCTGTTCGTAATATTTATGTTAGACTTACTAATGGAAGAAGTGGGACTCCGTAATTTCCTTTCAGTTCTTGCATACCCTGTTCTCGTTTTCGTTATCGTCTCTGGTGTGACGAACATAATGGTAGCAGATCTGTCGGAAAAGAACTGAGGACTTGCAGTGGATTTTCTCAATATCTTCTTTGCAAAGTCTGGTGATTTTAGAGCGGTGGTATGAGTACTCGAAGAATCCTGTTTTGGAGACATTATCTCCGGGCTGTAGCTGCGTTTCTTTGCAATTTTATCAATCATATCTGATGGTTTAGACATAATATTGCACTCTTTAGTGCACATTCCAGTTGTTGCCATTGATGTTCTAGATTCTTCTCGAATAAATTGGGGACTCGCGCTTCGTTCTCTCGTTAGTCTCTCGAAAAGGTTGGTCGATCCATTCCGAATCGGTTTTACATCAACAGTATTTTCAATTTTCCTTCGAGTTATTATGTCATTTTTCGGATTCTCTGGAGAGGAAGAAATTCTATTAATTTTATCAGGCCCGGGAGACTTAATATATTTGTCCACAGTACGATCCATAATCACAAGTGATTTACCGGATTTCCTTCTTACATTTTCACATTTTGGTTCTATTTTTACAACGGTACGTTGCTGGTTTTTCGAAACCTCCGGATACAATTTCTTATTGATTTGGGAGTCTTTGCAAAAGAATTTTGGGCTTTCGCTTCGACGTTGTTTATTTTTCAATTCTTCAGGTGATAATTTTCCACACGTTTTTTTATCAATTGCATAAGTAGTTGCCGATTTTTCTGATTCTTTGCAAAAGAATTTTGGGCTTTCGCTTCGGAGTCTTTTGTTTTCCGAAAAGTCAGGTGACAATCTTCCAGCAGGCTTTGAGTCTATTGTGTATGTGGTTGTTGATTTCTCTGCTCCTGTGCAAAAGAATTTTGGGTTTTGGCTTCGACGATGTCTATTCTTCAACTCTTCAGGTGATAATTTCCCCAACATTTTTGAATCTATTGCGTACGTAGTTGCTGATTTTTTTGATTCTTTGCAAAAGAATTTAGGGCTTTCGCTTCGACGTTGTTTATTCTTTAATCCTTCAGGTGATAATTTCCCATATGTTTTTGGATCAATTGCGTAAGTGGTTGCCGATTTTTCTGATTCTTTGCAAAAGAATTTTGGGCTTTGGCTTCGAGATCTTGGGTCTTTAGAAAAATCAGGTGTAGATCTTCCAGTAATTTTTGAATTAATTGCAGAAACAGTTGCCAATTTCTTAGATTCCGCAGAGAAAAATTGTGGACTGTAATTCCTTCGTTTTATAGTACTCTCAGATTCCGATGTCGACTGAGTTTCATCCAAATATTTGGGGGTCACCGATGCATCTTTGGATTCATTATTTTCAAAACCATTCTTTGCTATACTGGACCCCTTGCTGATCTTATTCTTGCTTTGCCTGCTACCAAAACACAACCAACATATTCAATTCAATATACTTAGTATTCATACTTAGAATACTATTATTATTTAGTATTCATACTTAGAATACTATCATTACTTAGTATTCATACGTATAATTCAGATATTGTTATTCTCTTTCACATTTTCACGATATTCGTTTACCTTTTGCATTGTGTTAATTCTATTCCGCTATCGTGGTTAGGGCACACACAGACAAATAATAAATGAACTGGGAAGAAATGATTCGGCACGTTCGTGGCAGAGCAAGATAAAGCTGCAGCATCATCCTCGATCTTCGACTCTAACGAATCTGATCGACTCCGATCCGGCTAAGTTATTATGATTGTAGAAAAAAAACGCTTGAAGCTTCCGCGGATAAGCGGGTCTCTCACCTGGCTCGCAGCGAAAGTGGATGATTGGTGGTTCACTGGCGCAGAATACGCGTGATTAATACTTTAGCGACTCGATCTCAGTTTCCCATGGTTGCGTCGCTATTGGTGCTTCATGCTTGGCGAGTAATTGTTACGTTGATGGAGTGTTTAATGCCCTTCGGCCCGATTATCCTTCCTCCGATAGCGGTTAAGGCGGGCATAAAATTAGAGCGGGCGTCCTTCCTCCTTGCGACAAACCGGAAACGGTGCGCCTCTACTTCGCCGGAAACGCGTCATTTAGTTGTTTTCGCAAAGGCGTTCGCTTCCAGGGAGAGTATGTATGTATATTGTTAGGCTACTACGGTTGCGTGGGTTTAAACGAGTCGAGTCTAGTCAGCGATTGCAATTATGCGACGAGGAATTAATCGAGGGGGGTTTGAGTGGGGGGGGGGACTGAAGGGTGAAAGCAGCGACGGATTGTTAGCATTGATTGCCAATTAGCGACCAGAGAATTTGCGTTTGTCAAGGTTCGATTGCAATAATCGAAACTGATAACCTACTTGCGTTTTAAAGTGTACTTAATACGTGTCGGGTTGAGTAATAACGTTCGTTCGGATTTCGTATCAGAACGTATGCGCGATATTACATTTACGAAGATTGTGCATTCGTTTATTCGCTCCTACGTTTTTTAATATTTTGTACAATGGTTTGTGGAGTACCTTTCGTTTCCAATGAACATGGTTTGTCCCAAGGATTTTTGAATTGCAATTGAAACAGCAAATTTTCGTATGACATTGCTAAGGGTTTTTTTTTATCATGAACTATAAATTATTAAAAATAGTTTTCTTGTGCAGAAATGTAATGTTCACAGGAAGTCAAGACAGATAACGGCGTGACCATTTTTGAGGCTGAATAATTGTCAACACTGATAAAAAAAGACAACGAAAAAATATAATATTTATATATATATATTTATTTATTATGTAATATTTCGAATAATTCATAATAAATAAATCATCAATATGTTACGAATAATTGTTATTTTAATGCATATTCCGTATGGTATGCAATTATTATTCAAAATATTGCAGCTCGAAAATAATTCTTATAAATGTGATATTGATTAATTTGCAGCGGTGAAGGTTGCATTTAATGACAGAAATAACGTATAAGTGTTCTCTCTGGGATATTGACGATAGGTATCAAATTTAATTGATGCTTACAATTCAAGAAATGAAATACAAAAATATAATTAAATCAGAATGAATATTATAACAATTTATATTTAAATAAACCCGAATGAATTAAATTTAAGTTAATTTACATTATAAAAATTTATTAGTATTACACACAAAATTCATATTATGTTACTAAAAAGTCGGTATACGATTTTTTAAGAAATAGTTCTAACAAGCAATATTTCATGACGATGCTGACAAAAGCGCAGGTCTTTGAAACTCCGAATGTATTTATTACTCAACCCAATATTATTCATGTATTTATTTCACATTATTAAATGTTTGTTACATACTTCAAAAGGATAGTTCTTTGATATATCTCTAAAAGATAGTGTAGGTAGACTAATTATTTGAGCATCTGACAATCAGAATGAAGAAGATCAGGAAAATCGGACCATTGAGTTACCTTCATATTCATGTTGAGTAGCGACAACATGGGTTTAGAATAACAACAGTTTAAATATGATTTATGGATTTTGTAAATAGGTTTCTGAATTATTAAGTACCACACCTGTTGGTCAGATCGAAAATGGTGTATAAGTTTACAATTACTTCCTTGTGTCCGAATAAAAAGGTATAGATAATAATTAAGTTCGAGTGTAAAGCTATCGCACCATTGTTCATAAGATACATATTAAATCAAATTAATAGGATGTTGATACTATAAGAAATCAAAATATGAATCCTAATAAACTGCGAAGGCGTATAACTCTCACTTGTGAATATATTTTACCTACTTATATAAATGAAGTTACAGAAATTAATATATAAAATGTAATGGCATATCAATTGTTTGCTCCACTTTTCATTACTGTTTCTATCAATAAGTTATACTTCTCTTTCTGATACAAACATTACTTTCTATTCATTTAGGTATGTATTTCAAATAATGATTAACGATAACAAAATTTCGTAACGTAGCAACTTTTTTATCAATTAATAAAAAATTTAATACACCTCGACATTTTTATCGAAGATCATACATTTAATACTAATCTATTTAAAAATAATGTTTATTATTTTCATAACGAAGAAAGACTCATACCACTCTAATTCCCAGACACTCAGATAACAGGACAATTAATTCAATGCTGTAATTGTCCGTACACTGTTTACTTGATATTGTTACCACATACCTGGAAGTAGATTTTGCCGGAAAAATTGGATCGGATCGTTTCCTCGAAACACCGATTGTACTTGTGTTTTTCGTAGCGTTGTTGCGCTTCGCGTTAGCGTTTCTGAAACGTTCCAATCTAGCCTCCGCTTGGGACAACTTCTTCGGAACACTTTGCTTTGGTAGCCTGTCAGGTACATCCACCATGAAATCCTCTGGGAATTCCTCGCTTTCGAGGTCGTTTTTAATCCGGTGCTTCAGCGTCTCGTCGTATTCCATCAAGTGGAGCTTCGCCATCATGCGATTCCTCTCTATCGTGTCCTCGTCCAGAACCTCCTCGATGTGTGTCTAATCGAATATCGTGCACACACAAGATACACAATTTATTACATAAAAAATAGCCAAATTTCACGAAAATAACATTCTTATGTTATGTGGTAAATCCAATTTTTAATAGCAGATATTTTATAAATTAAATGTATTATTTTCTTCTGTTAAGAACCTATCTTTTTCTTAAAATCTTATTTTATTTATGCGATACGGTTCTATTACGTGCAAATTTTATTTTACTTTTCTTCATAGGAATTTACTGTACCTACTCATTCATGTAAGTATAGGATTAAGATAACTTATAGATAATTCTATTAATCCTATAGGTTATATACCTGTAGGTAATCAGAATACTACAATGTGAATGACTATAGTAAGTGCCTATGAAGAAAAGTAGATGAAAATATTTGTTATAATTTCTCCCAAATTCATACGATAAATTAACATTGGTGGGGAAGACTCAATACAAAGCGTTTGAATGTGAAAGTTTAACTCTTTCGTAGAGTGTAGATGTTCACAAAAATATCGAGCTTCATAGGTTTTTCGAAAACTTTTAGTTTTTACGAAAAGTAAAATCTAACAAATACTTCTTCTTTCAGTTGTAGTTCATTAAAATAGAACTGAAATAAAATATTGTATTCATCGTTGTTAAAAATTTGTGTTTCAGTTTGCTTTACAAATCTGCACATTTATTGTATAAATTTTGTTTAACTCTATATAATCCGAAAATTGTTAAACTTTTTAACTTTGAAAATTAACGTTCTCCAATACAAAAGAGCGTAATTCCGTTTGCTTGCTTTTCAAATTATTTCGAACATTGTAACACAGACATTACTATTAAAATGGTGAAAAATTATTTGCTAATCAAATTTTCCAATAATATAACAGAGCCATATTCACAAGAAATTCACACTTGAGAAGACTTTTACTAGACAAACTTCTATTATCATTAAACCTAGATAATTTATCTATTGAAAAATGAAGCAGGATGTACAAAATATACTAATCATATTATTTAATTAAGCGTTAAATCGTAGAAGATTAACACGTCGTTCTCTGTTTTTTTTTACTGGAACCAAATCTTCTTAGTGATTATACTGTTGCTACAGCAACCCCAATTAAGAAGTTCGAGATCTTACGTAGCCTGGAGTGCATTGGTTGTCTCTCCGTTCTGTCTCAAGAGAGAATCCCGGTCGATAACAATTAATTACCTCGTCTCGATGATTTCCATTCGCGAACTGTACAACGTGGTTCTCGTTCCCGACCTCGTCGTCATCGTCTGGCTGCTGCCGTCCAGAAGGCCCGAACGATTCTCGAGTGATATCCTCGTGATACGAGACGATCGGTTTGCCGCCATTTAAATTGCTGTTCATGTCGGCCCGGGCCACTCGTCTCACGGTCACGGAGTGTCGGTTCACCGTCGAATTTCCGTTCTTCTGCACGGCGTTTCCGTTGGTCTGCTTCCGCGGTTTATTCTCCAACGGCTCCAACGGGTAGCTCCTGTCGATTCCCTTCACGGTCGTGTGCCGTCTCTCGTCGAACATTTGCCTCACCTTAATAGAAAATTCTCATGTCTATCTTACGGGTTTTAAGTTAACCCATTAGGAGCCAACATTGCGTTAACGCAACGTTTCACTGGCAATTTCTTTTCAGTGAATTTCCGTTATTGAAATCTGTTCTTCATGTTGCAGTTATGAAAGAATTGTTTAATATTTTTTTCGTCACTATTTCTCCTTTTACTTAGATGTTTGACTACTTTCACTTAGATCTTTGACTTCCCCCACTTTAGACGTTTTAAAATTTGGTCTTGAAGTATTTATAACATTATGATAAACCAATGTTTCCTTAAATCATGAAAATTTTTTCTCGTGCATCTTTTTCATGCAGTGGGCTTGTATAATACAGTGTCTAGTATTATAATACATTTTTTATATATCGGTATAAGTTATTCTATTTTCGTATTCCAATAAAAAATTGCCCAAAGTAGCATAAACGCAGCACTTTTAACTATTATAATAAATAATTATATGTGTAAAGTCGGCTTATTTCACTGTTTTGGACTTAATGGGTTAAATACTTGGCACCAGCAGAATCAGATGTACCAATATGTAATCCACTATTCCCCCACCTACCCCTTAAACTGGCAACGTAATTAAAATTCAAAGCATTTATCTCCTCTTTCCTTTTTTTCAAAATGGTGACTAGTATTCAAGAAGGGTGACTCATGTCACTGAAACGACACAGACCGCAGATTTCCACGAAAAAAGGTATCGAATTTCACAAAATATAGTGGATTATTTATTTGAAAACCTGATAAATAACTTGCAGTAGGTGAAATGTTAAGGATTCTAAAAATGCACGTAGCCAGGTTATCAGTCGGAGGGGGGGGGGGCAAATATCTAAACCTTCCCCCTCTAGGGTATGACAAAGGCTATTTTTCTACCCTGGGGAAAAGTCCATGATTCTAAACATTCTCGATTATCATAAATTGGTCAGTGTCGTGATTTCCAGCATCTAAACTGGCGGCCATTAGACCATTCAAGAAAGCGTGGCGTGAAACCACATTACTAAAACGACGCCGCGTTTCCACGCGAAGTATCACTCACCCTTCCACCTTGCGAGGTCGAGGTGGTATGGCTACTGGACGTGGTTTTCGTGACGGTGTGCTGGCTGACAGAAGAGCCATAATTCGAGCCGTTGGAACCGGCGCTGCCCCGTTGCATCACCTGATAAGCCCGTTGCTGTTGCTGATCGTAAAGCTGCAGCAGCTTCTGCTCTTTTTCCTGCAGCTGCTTCTGCTGGAACCGGGCCTGCGACAGTCGTAGATTTTCTTTAACTTTTATCATAACCGCGGCAATCCTTCTTAGACAAGATTCTTTGTACTTGTTCTTTTACGAATTCTGTCGGACGCGGGTTATGGGGTAGCTTGAGGGTTGAACGTAGTGAATTCTTTTTAGGAAAATATTTTTCGGACACGGTTTCTTAGGATACTGTAGAGTTAGGCATAATGTAATGTAATTACAAAGTCCAAATCACAATTACAATGTCGTGTAATTGACAATTACAATTACATTGTAATTAACTATACTAAATTTACAATAAAAATTACATTGTAATTGTAATTGTCCCGTAATTACATTGTAATTGCAATTTAGATTTTGTAATTAGATTACATTTTGTACACTCACAACTCTAGGATGCTGTCCGTTTGAACAATTAGGTGAGTGTTAAGTATTCAATGATTCAATGACAAAGTATGGAGAATCACCTTTAATATCTTTTTGTTCTTTTAATAATGTAACGATGAATGATAATAAGTAGGATTTTTGCGACGAAGAAATCTCAGTACATATTTTGTATAATGTTACTTTAGATAACTTTCTTAATGATTCAAGATTTACAAATTCGTTGAACAGTAACCTAATAATTTGAGGTGTGATTCCTAAGCTGATTTTGTCACATGTAACATTTTCAAATATATTGTTTATCAGAAGGACAATTAAGTATTAATGATGACAAATTTTTGCGAAAAGTAAAAAATTCTTTTATATGTACTCTTTTCAAAAATTACATTTTATAAATTTAGATTCTTTCAAGTTTATGGAAATATTTTTCAATTATTGGACTTCGTATATAGTTTTGTAATTTTAAACATTTACAAAATATATTGTTAATTTTAAACTCGTAAATTTTCTTCGTTTGTAGAATAAAGAATATTTTCCATCCATAACACTTTTTACTTTTCTATGCGTAGAAGTTTTCAATACCTGCCTTTAACAATAACATGTTTCCTTACCATCAACTGTTTGGAATGCATTCAATCCCATTTAATCTTTTCCAATTCGATACACTTTCATAAGATTATTCCATAAAAAACTCTTTACTCTCGTCCTTTCAACAACTGAAGACCCACCGATGATTTTTCACCGAGTAGTCTCTTTATTAATAGTTAAAGTCTCCGAACTGAAGTGTCTTTACCGAACACAAAATCATTAATCTCTTCAAAGAAATCCTTCGTCATAGATAAGCCAACTATCGACGATTCAATAACTTCATTTAGTCAATTCATTAAAACATAACTTCGTAATTATAAATGTGTTCAGAAAACATTGATCTTTGTTACTTAAAACATTTTCATAATCAAAACAATCGACTTTAGTAGTTGCCGAGAGTATCGTAATATCGATCTAAAAATAAACTCAAGAACTTAGTATTTCTCATTGCATCGTGAACATCGACCACCGCAGATCAACTAATCGCACACGATCGATTTCCCTCGAAATCAATTACATTGATCCGGAATCGCTGGTCTTTCGTCGAAATAATTAAACGAAGTCGTGATTCACAACCGGAGTTAACGCCGGCCGGCCTGCGACTCCTGGTTAACCGCGGCTCGTGGCCGACTATAGTCGCCAGCCCCGCGCACTATACCATGGCCTGCAACCGATGCATATGCTGGCCTCGCTCGCCGGCCATCGTGGCAATCTCATCGATTCATTTTAACCTACATGCGAAGGGGTTAGTAAACTCGTTACCGAGGTAAAGTGGATCGTTCCTCCCTTAATTTGACACGGAGATACGATTACGCGCGATGCTTTTTCTTGCGAGTATTCCATACAGTCTTCCTAATTTTGGACAGTTGGAAGATCGGAGATATACTTACAAGGGAAGTTACTTCAGATGTTAAATTAGTTTGAGAAAAAAATAATGATGGGACATTTAGAGTGAAAAGTCAGTTTGTGTTTTTCTCTTCTGTCTCGTTTGAATTACGAATCATTTTGGATTAGATCGTGACAGGAGTTGAGAAATTCGATACTATACGACAATACTAAGCGTAAAAAACACTGATATTAATTTGTTAATAAATGTTCATTAATAAAATATGTCTTCGTCAATAAACATCTATTGATAAAATATATCTTCGTTAAAATCAGAGATGGACAAATTCATTATCTAGATAAAGTATTTCGAGTAAAGAACAAAAGATAAAAAAAGAACTCCGTCATTTTTAATCATTTAAACGAGGAAATTTCAATTTTTATTAGAAAATAATACTTTTTCCTGAATAAGTCGATATTTGGCAAACAATTATTTAATCTCATTAACTGTTTAAAACTCAGGATGACGCCCTTAGATACTGCAGCTATCCACTATGCATTATTCGAATAAAATTCTGCTCAACTCTGGTAACAATATATTATCATAATAAAAATGAACTTTGTATTCATTTTCCTTTGATACAAGTAGGTAACGATATTTCTGATGCGATACTTAACGGGTCATGCTCAGTCAGAAATTAAAAAAAAATCGATTTTTCATTTTCTACATTTTCTTCTAAGTACAACATCTCGAGAATATTCTGTGCAAGTTTCAAGGTAATCCAATTAAAAATGACAGAGTTACAGATGTTAAAAAATGAACATTTTATATAAGTGTAAGCTTGACTTGAAACTTCAAACGCGTTTTTCTCGAAACTACATTTTTCAAATCGGTGATCAATATTTCTCGAAAACTACTGTGACGATTTACATGAAACCGTTTGCGCCTTATTTCAAATCAGGCAAACTTGTTCTTGAACGAAGGATTTTTCTTTTCGTTCCATACTTTTTTTTTAATTGACTAAAAACGAGTGATTTTTAAGTGAAAATCGCACTTCTTCAGGAAAATGTCCGCCATTTTGTTCCTAATCAATACTTCGAAAAACTCCACGTTCGAGAACAAGATTGGTTCATCCATTACATAAATCTTACTGAATTTTTAATTTCAGATAAACCGTTACGAAGTTACAGATTACAGTGATAGGGAGATCGCTCTCCATTTATTTACTAATAAATATTTTTAAATAAAAAAATTACCTTATAATCTAGAAACTGCAAACTTTGAGGCACAAACACATTTTTTGAAAAAGGTCTTATAGTTTATGAGAAAAAAATTCCCCAAAAACACTCTTTTTTCGGCCTCCTGACTGAGCATGACCCCTTAAGTAGATATCGAAATTTTTGTTCGATATAAGTTACGAGTAAAAGTGTCGATATCTTGGCGGTATCGCTTTATCCCTACCCCTGCTGAGCAACTTATGTGTGTGACAAAGACAAAGCAAGAACCGACACACTCTCTGTCTCCGTCACACGCACAGATTGCTCAGCAGGAGTTGCTGAAGCAGGCGGCTTGCCTTTCGACCCTAGCAGCGGGGGAATCAGCCTGATACCACCAAAAATGGTCTGGCAAAAGACGCCATGATTGCATCGCAAAAAAGCTAAATGTCCTCAAAGAAAGTGCAACGTATTTATGTAAAAAGAATTGAGAAGTGAAACTACATGGAAACGTAAACAATGTCTTGTTGCGTTATTGCAGGTCACACATGGCGAACAGCTCACAAGCAGAACACAAGCGGTTAAATTTGTTCGCACAATGTTCATCCAGCTCATGCTCATACCGACGTAAATTTAGTTTAGAAAAATGTTAGACTATGTAGTATTTGTTGCTCTCATCAACTGCATATTTAATAATAAAAGGAAATAGTGCTCGCAGAGAAAAGTTGTCAAAAGAAGAAGCATTCCTGTTGGAGTAAGTTTAACAAACGATATTTCTAAACACACATCACTAGTGGTGCTATTTTAATTGAATTATATCCCGATCATTCGCGTTTGTGAGACGCAACAAAACTAATCGTATAAAATAAAACTTCAAGAAATGGAATTTCCAGTTGTTAGTAGTTTTGTTGCGTCTCACAAACGCGAATGATCGCGATATAATTCAATTAAAATAGAATTTTTTGAATCGTCTCACTGCATAGATGATGGTTCTGAGATGCAGATTGAATACAAAGTGCAGGTTGACATCGAAGTAATCATCAACTCGCCCAGAACGTGTTTACAACGGGTCCAGACACATTCTAAGCTCGTCAACAGACCCTTTGATGTACTGTCGGCGAACATGGTTCGCAATCTATTCGCGAACACCAGTATGAACCCGACATTACAAACTCTAGATTGTTCTGAAATTTGTCACTATGTACGAGATTTTATTCGAGAAATTGTTAATAAATTACAGAGTTTTACTATAACGTTAATTAACATTAAAACGTTTTACTATAACGTTATTAACATTTAAACACATCCTATGTATCTAAAAATTTCATGACAATAATTTCAAGCATCAGCTTGCTGTGAATCGCTTTGAACGGGTTTGTAATCAGAAATTCAGATCAGCTTCCGTTGTTTAGATTGAGTTTAATAAAAAAGAATAAAACGTTCACTTTTGAAATACCAGAGAAGAATAACACTTAAATAAATCATTACAATCAAAAATAAGAAACGAAGGTACATAGTAAATGAAGAATAAAATCTAATTTACATTTGCACAAATGCTCCTCTCGTTCAAGAAATTTGGGTATTATACTCAACATAAATCAACCACAGCGATCATCCTCGTAGAATTACATTCGAAATCAAGTGTAAATGTTGAATGATTGGAGGAATTGATGAGATTAGAGTTATCCGACACGCTCGAACGCAACTGAAGGTGGTAGACGTTCATACTAGTAGACGTTCATGTAACGGTAAATGAAAAGGATCCATCTTTAACGAAAGATCAGGCATTGTTTAATAAACAGGAGGAAACTACTAATTGGATACCGGTCGAATCGGTGAGTCGGCAATCAGGCGGCCTGCTAATTGATTTATTCCTAATGAGCACGTACCGCTGGTCGCTTTGCTTTGTACACGTGTTCTGTATGCGTACAAATTCGAGACGAGATCAGTCGTGGGTGCGTAATTCGTAATGATAACGAGACGTTGATTGGACTCAT